GTGTCTCCTTCACTGCGTTGCAAACTTCTGACTGAAATTATAATACCCTTTTGCTCTGCAAGGGTATAAAAATAAAATAATAATAATAAATTTACAGGGGAATTAAAATAATTAAAACGGTTGGATCTCAAAAAAACCATTAAAAATGTTATGTTTAAAAAAGAGTTTATTTTTTCTCTGCATTAACTGTAACTTTGTTAACCACAAAATCGCTTCAAGGTTAAAGCCAACAAACCACAACAACACGGGGGCAGTCAAGCAACAACAATAACAATAACAACTCAACCAGGCCTCCAGTAAACTGAAATCAACTAAAAATAAATTCATTAATTTAACAGTTAGGCTTGAAATGGAACTAGCAAAACAAACGCGAAGTGCGGAGAAGATATAACAGAGCAAACATGGAACTCTGACACGAATTTCACGAAGCACACGCAACACGCATCTGAAAGATAGAAAACTGTTAGCTGTTAAATGATATAGACCCGAAAGATACTCAGTCATGAGTTACCTATCGGGTGGGTTAAAAATTACAACTATATACGATTTGTCTCAAATACTAACCCTAAAATGTGATCAAACCTTTTATGCAAATACTATTAAATTAAAAAAGAGTCCCAAGAGCGCCAACTCATCTACCTGATATACATATATACCCCTTTGAGGTGTCATTAGAGCCACCTCCCCACTAATGGTATAATGCCAACATAAAGAGCCGAAGGAAATTAAGGCAATGCCAAAGGCCAAAAACACGAAGAGGGTGACAAAGAGAAGAAGGGAGAGAGCAAAAAAGGCACGAAAGGCCCGTTTTGTGGGAACTGGTAATAGCGGTAAACTCGTAGACTTTCGTGCACTTTAAGCATTAAACTAAACTCTTCGAGTTGCACATGCCACACATCACGCTTGGATAACCACCCACAAAAGCAGACAAAAGGAGAGTAAACTCTCGATTAATTAAATAAAGAAATATCAATATATCGAATGTTTCGATAGTATCGTCGTCTTCGATCATTACCGATAGTCTAGAAAATTTGCTTAGAAAAATATTGAAATTGAAAGAAAACAAAACCCTTTCAATAATACTAAGTTTTATTTAAGCTTTAGGAAACCTTAGGAAAATTATTACAACAAAAATGTACATACAAAATAAGCCAAGAATTTATAATTTTTTCCTGCTGTTTATGTTCTAGAGTATTTACTGTAATAGTCAAATAAAAGCAACCGTGGCTGAGGCACGAAAAACTAAAATCAAAAGGAGAAGACGCTAAAAACTGACGTCATTGGCGACCCACCACCAAAATAAAAAAGGGGGGATAGTCGGAAAAGCCGAAAAGAAAAAGCGAAGCAAAAATCAAATCGAAATCGAATGGGAAAACAAGCGAAACCATGATATAAGTAATAAACAAATCTGACGCCCAGCAGAGCCGGGATATTCAAATATGTACTTGTATGTACCTAGAGCAGAAACAGTGCAGGGAAATTGCGGAAAAACTTCATAAATTCCCTCGATCGCCTATTTCTACGGTCTGTTCAAAATCACTTTGGACCAAATAAATAACTAAATAATTAGCCCAGGGAATACATTTTCCAAAGTGTATTAATCGAGAAAGGTAGTTTATAAACTTTGTGGGAAAAGCGCAAAGAGTTTTGGCAGTGAAAGAACTACAGTTTGTGGGCTTATTTGTACGAAAAGGTGAACGGAAATTTAAGTTTTTAAATACAAGTACTTTGCCTTTGATGTCTTGAAGATTAATGTCAAGTTTACCAAATAAAAAATGGTTAATTTTAAAAGATAAAACAACGTGAAATATGTATAGAATTTTTTCATGTCATAATTCGGTTTTACTATTATGGGGGAAACAATACAAATATATTTCTACAATTACAAAAATTGGACAACAAATTTAACCATGGCAAAAAAATTTCTATCTCAAATACTTAAAACTAAAAAAACATTCATACGTTTGAAGTACAAACATTTGACTATGATTAATGAGCTTAAATGAAAACAAAATGGTACGAAATTTCTTTAATATTTATATACTTTTTTATTAGAAGCAAACGCTTAAGTTTATTTAAGCAACAAACTAAATGTCAGAGTCCAAAAATTAATATTTGATGAACATGAAAGAACCATTTATGTTGACACACCAAATAGAGGAAACGAATTCCGTTTTTGTTGTTTAAAATTCAAACAAGAACTTTGGCTAATTTATGCACAATGCCGGTGGGTGGGTTTGGCAGGGGTGGTGGGTGGAAAGGATAAACAAATAGACAATGACGTCATGGCAGGTGAAACGACTTCAAGTTGCGTTATTTCCACCAGAGGTAGTAAATGAAATTTCCGCAAATGCTTGAACCAAACACGAAATGTTTGGAATCAACAACTTCGTATTGATTTCGATATAACACACAAATGTATATATTAATTAATGGAAAATACTTTTTTATTGAGCCATTAAAACCTAAAAATTCATTTGCGTTCGGTTTTGCTTTTTATTATAACAATTAAATAGGATTTTACAATTTGGCCTTACTAAAAATATATTTTTTTTCCCATCGGCAACTAATCTAATCAGCAAAATTACCATTAAAATTATTGTTGTTTTTCTGAAGGAGCCAGAAATGTATTTGCTATTAGCAAATACACGAAGAAAGATTTTCAGAATAGCAAAAAACTAAAGTCTAGGGAAATTATAAAAACTTTGTATGTTTTCTTTTCCTTTTAGCGGTTTACCTCATGTGATAAATTCGACTTCTCTATTGGTTGTCATAACCGGTAAGCGTTGACTATGGGAGCCATATCTCGTTTAACTCGATGGTTGACTCCCAAGTCAACTTTTTTATTGCAAAAAAAGTTTAAAATCGAACGTCAATATTCCGATTGGGAATACCAAATTCCTAACTGCATCAGTGCAGGTTTAGTTTTTTTCTGGTCGACTATAAATTCCGTTGGTATGCACATTCCGCTTTGGGACCGTAAAAACTTGGCCGTAATGTTAATTTTAGAAAGAGAGCAAAAGCAGGAAACGCGGTCTTCAAGATCGTAAAAAATGTTTTTTTTTTCCCTCTAAATATTATTATGATCGTTTTATGTGCTCCATAATTTCACACATTTTGGCTTCTGTTGAAGTTTTGGTATTTTTCAAAATGAAATAAAAAACATTGTTACTTTGAAATTGCCTAGGAGGTATCCAGGAATTTATACACTCCCATTTTGATTTTTTGCGACCACGTTATACATTGTATTCGCGTCGTCAAGCTCGCGCAGCGTTGCGTATGAGTAATATGCAATTTAAAAAGTTTGCTGCCGCTATTCCCAGGTGTTTCTGTTGCCAATTGGGCAACAATCCTCCTTGACAATTCAATTGACTCAGCATGGGTGTGGGAAGTTTCTTTCCCAGCCAGTTTAGCCTTTTATTTGCGCTCTCTTTCGAGTAAAACTGATTGACGTGCAGCTCTACGTTGATTACTCATACGCAATGTTGGCCCAACTGGATGACTGACTGGCAATTGTTGGCTGACTGACTTGTTGCCTCTGGATTGATTCGACAGCAGCAGCTGCCCGCTTTCCATTCAATTTTCCACCGCCGCGTCAAATTGAAAGGCAGCGGGCAGAAAAGATATAAAGGGAAAAGGCGAAAAAAATACAGATAAAGGGAATTGGTTTCCTATTTTGAATACCCTTTTGTTTTTCACAACGATAGCAAAGCATTCGCGTTGCCTAAAAGAATTGTATTATTATGATGTTTAAGGAATATTGTTCACACTCATTTTCTCAGAATTTCAAGTCAACTAACTTATCTCATGTAATAGGCATGGAAAACTATTTCGTGCCATTTGCCTTTCAATGATTTCAATGCGGTTGCCTTTTTTTTGCCTATACTATTTTTGAATGGATCCAATTTTGTGGTTGCCGCCTGGTAATTTAAATACCCCGACAGCCCTGAGCCAGATTAAAAAGCAAGTTAACCAAAGCTGGGAAGAACCAGCTTGAATTCTTGAACTCTCAAATGGAAATGGAAATTGAAATGACCGACTGCCAAATGGCCACGTGTCTCCACTTTCCACTTGGATCATTTATACGGAATACGGAATACATTCCCTCAATGCGTATTTCGATGCCAAAATTGATTGGAATCGATGACGCAGTGGGCACATAAAACGGGGTTGATCAGACGAGGGGAATGAATGGTATGGTCACAAAAGGCTAATTGCAAACGGCAGCAACAAAAAAACCCCAGAGCCATTTTGGCCCGGTCTGCATTATGCTGCTATATGTTGGCCTTTATGTTTCTGTTGTTGTCCCGCTTCGCCATGTGTTAATAGTTCAATGAACTTTTCATTTTATGCTTCATTTGCGACTCGAACAAAGCGAAAGAAAAAAGGCAGCAAAATGTGCAAGTCGATGACGAAAATACTCTAGCTGTAAATAGTAACATAAGTGAATAGGATAAACCCAACAGCAATCTTTTTATTCCTTTGCTAAAGCGTATATAAACTAAATCAACAAATTGCTAAGGTTTAATATAACTATAAATATAAGGAGTGTTTAGTTATTCAATGAAAGCCAAACACCCCTTGCTAGAGCATTTGGAAGTGTAAAGAGTACAATGGCGATTCATTGACGGCTTTTCTTATTGCTTATTGCCATCGCTTGTTACGTAACCCCGAGAAAAGCTAAAAAGCCGAGACAAATACAATCAGTAAACCTGTGAGCCGACTCTTAAGTTGACAACAGCCACTGACAACTTTTGGGCCATACCAACTACGATCGTGGTTTCTTTTACACTAGACCATACCATTCATAACTTGCCATTTACATACACCCATCGAACCTTATAGATATAAACTGCAATAAAAAATGGCAAAACGAGGGGAACAATGTGCGTTTACATTACTTTTTTGGATTCGCTGACAAGCCAAACAGGAAGCTCCTATTTATTTATTTAATTATGTATTTATTTGTTTAACCGTGTCGTCTCTCTCGAATTTTGCAGACAGCAGACAGCGAGTGTGAGCGAGTGAGCGATCAGCGAACGATCCCGCCATCATGAGCAAGAAGCCGACAGCCGGACCGGCGCTCCACAAGGTCATAATGGTGGGCAGTGGCGGCGTGGGAAAGTCCGCCCTCACACTGCAGTTCATGTACGATGAGTTCGTCGAGGACTACGAGCCCACCAAGGCCGATAGCTATAGGAAAAAGGTAATGCCCAAAAAGATTTCCCGCCTTTCGAAAACAGTCTTACCTATCTTATCTTTTTATAACCCCTAAATACATGATTTACCCCACAGGTTGTGCTGGATGGGGAGGAAGTACAAATAGACATATTGGACACGGCTGGTCAGGAGGACTATGCTGCGATCAGAGACAACTACTTTCGCAGCGGCGAGGGTTTCCTCTGCGTCTTCTCCATCACCGACGACGAAAGCTTCCAGGCGACCCAGGAATTCAGGTGAGTGTGTCAAGCGGTTCTCCGAGGGCATTTTCCCCTTGGTTTTCCCCAGCATTTCCCCCGACTCTTCGCATTTTTCCTCGGGTCTCTTGAGAGTGTCGCGTTTTGTATTTGTCTCAGGCTGACAAGTGTCGCGGTTTTATTTCTCACACGAGCTTTGCTTTTTTTCTTCTTTTATTATTTTGCGGTGCTAATTAGTCACATAAGTTGTTCATATGTATTTTTTTAGAATGTGTATTAAATCTTGAATCTTATAGAGTCTGAGGTATTAAGACGCTTAAAAATAAATGATGTATTCTTATGTTCTGTTTAGATACTTTGTATTTGTAATAGATTTGTAATATTCTTTTAAAATGTTGATGAGGTATTTATCTGTTCAGAATGTCTTTTGGTTTCCGTTTAAAAATAAAGACAACTTTAAGCTAATAAATATTTTCTGAGCACATAAGTAATAATTGGTATGACTGTTATGACACTAATGACTGGGAAATGTTTCTGAAAAGTGGTCTATAATGATAATAGAACCTCTAAGTAAGGCGCACCATGTCCGCAAGTTGATAAGTCAACATTTGAATATGCCATGCCTCTGTTTTTAAAGCCAAACTTAAGTATGCCGCATCATGCTCGTTTTCCCTGATAATTCTACCTATGAAATGCCATATCGGTGTCGTGGCCCCCACTTAAACGCCCTTTTCCATCGACCCAATTGAGTTATTGAAGCCTGGCAACCCAACAGAGCTGCAGGCAGATAAATGTGACTGGGAAATGTCTATGGGACGTCGGCCAGTGGCAGGGTGTGACCTGCTTGGTAAATGTATATTTATTCCCCAATATAAGTGCGTCCCCCTGCCCATTTCTGTGCGTTTACATTTATAAAACCTACTTGCTTTCGCCTCAAGTGGAGTGACACACGCAATGAGTCACGCCTTTTGATAAGGGTTTATTATCTATCATTTGTTCTGTTCTTTTTCCTAGTTTTACATTCGCCAATTTGTGACGCCACAAACCTCTTCGATTGTTTGTACTTTTATATGACTAGTCTTGCGATCGTATAGTGTTGCTCTGTACAGTTTGATATTTAAGATGCGAAAACCCCCTTTTGTATTTTCCAGAGAACAAATCTTGCGGGTGAAGAACGACGAGAGCATACCGTTCCTGCTGGTGGGCAACAAGAGCGATCTGAACGACAAGCGCAAGGTGCCGCTGAGCGAATGCCAATTGCGGGCGCAGCAGTGGGCGGTGCCCTATGTTGAGACCTCGGCTAAAACCCGCGAGAACGTGGACAAGGTGAGTTGTGGTGATGGCGCCGAGAAATGTTGGTACTTGTCACCTGAAGAAGTGACCCTATCCAACAGACAACAACAGTAGAAACGAATCGCGAATCAAAAGAAAACTCCTTGGAAATTGGCAAGCTAAAAGGTTTCTCTCGAACAAACGAAAAACTGCACACAGTTTTTTTTTGTTTAACTAGTATTCATAGTTTATTTAGTGTGATTTGCTTTTCTTTGTTTCGCTTACCAACGAAACCCTCACTCACTGAGTATATTTAACGTTCCCGCAATGAAAACACTCATCTTATTGCGTTTTCTATCTAGATGTTTGAGTATGAAAATGTAGATTTTTCTGATAAACAATTTTCGAATATTTAATTTTATGAAACAAGCATAACATTTTGAGCAAGTGTAAATTAATATTCTAACTGCCACATAAGGTTTTTAAAAAAGGCTAAAGTTAATTAGTCGTTCATATTTCAAGCACCAGTAATTTCACATTCATAGCTCTCAGCGTTATTTCCCCTCTTGATACAATCTATCTTTATAGCTATATACTCAGTTCAAGGTTAACTTTTCGAGCTTTTTTAAATGATAATAACAAGTGGGGACGTTCAGATAACAAAAGCATAAAAATAGGTCTGGCAGGCAATTCAAAACATGAAAATCTAATAAGGAAGCAAGTCATTAGGGAAAATCCTGTTGATTTATTATGTAGTAATGGGAAACTAATAGAAAATGAAATGAGAATCCATATAATCTTAATAGCGTAGCATTGAAAAAATCTTAAAAAAGGGGAAATGCACATTCATTCCATATTTAAAAAAATGTAGAAATTTATTTAGATTTAAAAAATCATCTAAGTAGGAACATAACTTATTATGAAACTACATATATTTTTTGTAGATCTCCTTTATTTTATATTAAACATTTAGATACTGTTTTGCAAATGAGAAGCTGAGACGACTTAGGAGCAACAAATGTCTCAGCTTATTGAACAACTAATCTTTCTCCTCATTGCCACACACACAGCGAACCACACACAGATACACACACGCACACAGCTACAACAATAAATGCACTGCCCAAAATAGTAGACTTCTTACCAAGCTTTCAACGTTGCTGCCTTAAACGAATATATTTTATTTTCATTTTATTTCAACCCTTACTGATAAATGCCAATGCTACAAGATCTCTATATAAATAAAAATATGTGTGTGTAATTATGTTGGTTCGATCTTTGATCATCACTTATATATCGCAGTTGCGATATCTGATTGACTCTAATGCTGACTCTGTATATGACTTAATTCCCAATCCACAATTACAGGTGTTTTTTGATTTGATGCGCGAAATAAGATCACGAAAAACCGAAGATTCGAAAGCCACGAGCGGGCGTGCTAAAGATAGATGCAAGAAGCGGAGACTTAAGTGTACCCTACTTTAGGCATTAGGTGCATACAACTTCCACTACCAAATACGAACTATAATATATATCCTATGAATCCTATAGAATATATGGCCACACCCACTATACCCGTAGACACTATAATTTGTTGCTTAACCCCCGCTTGATTGCTTTCGGCACTTTCTCTATCTCTTTAACTAACTTTAACTTAACATTGGTCGATTTTATATATATATTTTGGCATATTTTCTTATACTTCCGCTTGTTATATTTAGTTATATAGTTTTTTTTATTTCAAATTTCGTTTGCCAAGACTACACTTTAAACTAACACGAGGATCTTCATAACCACTAACTTTAAACCCAGACAGCTTTAAACTTTCAATTAGACGAGCACCGGATATATTTGGGATAAAGTCGGAAAATCACTGATAGTATTGTCCACCGTATCGGGCTCTAATTTTCTAACCATATTTTCAGAATTTAACAGCGAAAATTATACAAAACTATACCTATTGATTTCGTATTAACTATCAATGGTTTGCCAGCTCCTAACGTGGGGTTCCATATATTTATCTATCTGTACAATATTAATTTAATCGGTTAATGCTCAAGAGAACATAGTTAGATTGAGAAAGGTTTAGCGGTGGGCTTTTTCAAGTTCGATACACTGAGGAATTTCTTAAGAATATTTTCCAGTTGACACTAACACTGACACAAAAACACACACATCTGTACATACACATACACGCCTATACCACCAACACTTCTAAAACAAGACTGTTTGAAATTATTTAAAGCATTTCAGTTTTGGTTGAATCTGCTTTTGATATATGCCTGGAATTTTGAATTCATTTTATTTGGTTTGGTTGTTTTCTCGATCACTTTCTTTTGGTGTATGAGCCTAAGTAAAACTCAAAGAACAGGGCGTTTCTCAGCAACCTTAATATAATGAATTTATAATATATATCATAATATTATTTTGTTCTAAAAATGTTTTTGAAAAAGCTGTGAAATCCGTGTTCTTTGCTGAATTAGGAAAGTTTAAGACACTGTTTAAACTTTTCTTTTCTACTTTGGTTTTAGCAACTTTTCAAAATTTCTTTATCTATAGAAAAACAATTTAACCCCACCACCTGAAAAATAACAGAGAACAAATAATAGTGATTTAATAAAGGCTAATAAATGATTTGTATTTGTCTAGGTATTTTATGATCTAATCAGGGATATTTCATCGCGTAAAAAACAACGTCAGACGGACGTCAAACAGCCGCCGAAGCCCAATTCTCATTGCTGCCAACTGCTGTAGGATGAACAACAACAACAACAACAACAGACAACAACCATACGATGAACAACAAACAACTGCAGCAGCAACAACTTGGAAACAACAACGGCCACACGGATATCACCAACCACAGAATAGCAGAAGAAGAAAATAACGATATGTTAATAAAGAATTAACTTAGAGAACACCAGAACACACTTACACAGAAGAAAATGTCAAAATTATTTGCCACACTTAAACACATAATCCAAGGTAACTTGCATTGTAATATACATAAATATATTATTTAGGCAACCAATTTCCCAAAAACATAAAGATAAAAGCACACAGACAGGCAACTTGTAGATTCTGCCGATTAGTTTTGTTTTCTTTTTGAATTATCTATTTTTGTGTTGCCCGTAAAAATAAAATGTTAAAATTAAAAGAAAAACTAAAGCTTGAACTTATTAAATATAATCAATCTTAGAAACCTAAACAACCCGTAATAATTATGCAATTAATAAATGCTTTAGGTATTTCTCTTGTTTAATTATACATACGCATACATTTTTTTGTAATATTTTAAAGTTAAATAGCTAAATGCAAACCAACACAAACCAACAAGAAACCACACAGAAAAGCTTTTTATAAATACATCTAAATATATATTTAAATATATACAAAATAGTTTAAAGTATAAAACACTTAAAATGCTAGAGAGGAAAATAAAAAAGGGAAACGAAAACAAATAATATCTCCAATTATTAATTGTAAACGAAATGAATCGAAACAAATTTTTAATGCAATTTTTGTAATTTTCTAAACCAAACGCAAATGAGTAGGGGTATATAAAAACAAATTCAAATGAAGAATGATAAACTAACGTTTTTGACAAGCTTTGGAGATTTCCCTTTACTAATGGTTACTTTCTCACGCTGAAACACATCCAATATATATTTAGCAATTACTCCCAGTTGAATTGCTCCTTTGTTTACTTTTGTAAAACTGCATTCTGTATTTTAATGTTTAAGCTATTATTATTATGATAATTATTATTAAATATATAAGTTATGTATGTAATCAATTGATGGTTGGTTCATATTTTGTATCAAGCAATTCCCTTTATCCTTCTTCGAAAATTGTTGCAAAAAACACGAAAACTCGGTCACAGCTAGAACCCTCAATCATTTATTTCTTTTCCCTCACGTTCATACATGCATGTATTCAAAATAAAATCAAGCAACAACCCGCATTTTTTTTATATAAATATATATACATAAATTATTATTACGAAAGTTAAAAATGGCGGTCGAAGGAACGTACTTTTAGCTTGACTCAGAAATAAACCGAAAAATATATGTAAAATACAAAAATCACAAAAACTGTTGTTTTTTCTTGGTCGCCCTTTATGGGACATTTGTGCATTGTTGTTGTACAACATCTTGGATTGCAATCCATATTAAACAATGCTGCTAAATATCGACTGCCACTTGGTCAGTACGACGTTTTTCTTATTTTAAGTAAACTATTTTTAAATTGAGCGCCGATTATTTGGGTCCAATGGAAAATCGATAGTTGAACGCTACGTTTCACAGCACTGATTTAATAAAGAGCTGCGGAAAACATCGATAGGCGCGTAGTTTTCGATATTTTCCATGCAACGTTTCGATATATTGACACTATCGTGAGTGGTTAACCCAGCTCTAAACAAAAGAAAAATTACAAAAAAAAATTTTACAGCAGGACTGCGAGCGATATTTGATTGAATCGTTTGCAGCAGCATTGAAACATCACCGGGAAACCAACTACTGCGCGTTGCCAGTCCGGAGTCACAGTGTTTCCAGCGGATCCGCAGTTTTCCAGTGCCTCCTGCTTGCTGCCCCACCACAGCTTTCCCCTCCCGAAAGAAAAAGCAGAGATTCTGCTTTTTTCATCCAACCATCCGTTCGTTTCCCCCTTTGCAACTTACCCCGCCCCGCCCTGTCCCACGTCCCGTCAAGGCCCCACCCGCAGACCACGCCCCCCGCCCCTAAGGTTTAATCAGCAAACAAACAAACGAAGCAGCGAAAACGGGAAAGAGGCGAAGGGCGGCACGAGCTCCTCCTGTGAGTAATCCGGAAGCTGGAGCAGCAGAAGCGTGGATCCTCATCCAACCGGCGGCTGAGCGATGCAGTATAGGCCACCATGGGTTCGCAGACCTTGGAGATATTGCGCCAAGGCGTGTGGGCCTCGCTGACCGGCGGTTATTTCTACGATCCGCACCAGGGTGTCTTCTGCAATGTGGTGCACCTTTATCTTTGGCTTTACCTGCTCTGCTCGCCCTTTGTGGCCTACCTGGTGAGTAGCTGTCCTCCCGTTTGGAGCCTCTGTGCTCTAATCTTCTACGTATTTGCTTCTTTCAGTACTTTCCGAGCACCTGGTTGACATGGTGCCTGTACTGTGTGATAACCAGCTTGACCATCTTGATGGTGAAGCTGGCCAATCTTGCACTGCACCGGCTGTACGATCGGGCCCAGACAATGTCCGAGGTGAACCTCAAGGGGCAGTTTTTCAAGGTCACCAAAGAGACGGAGCCGCGGCACGATGACGAGGGCGGAATCGAGATGAAGGTCATCCGGCCTGGCGGATCGCGCATCTCCGTCGAGCAGGCCATTAACGAGGCCAGCGAAGAGAACAGCATCATGTCCATCGACAATGTGAACAGTATCATTGGTGAGTTGCAGCTGCAAACGTAGCTTTTCTCGTACTTAATACTTCCGTCGACAGATCTCAAGGTCGATGTGCACCGTAAGAACAGCTCCGAATCCATCGAGCTGATGTTCTACGCCCCCTCCATGCTGTCCGGTGGCAGCCAGCAGGATCAACAATCGCTGGCCGGTTCCGCGAGCGTCAGTAAATCCATTCGCAGTACGGGACCCGGCGGCAATTCCTCCACCAGTGCCGCCGCCCAGGCGGATTTGTTCAACAAGTACCTCACCGTCTATCCGGAGGTTGTGGAGGCGCCCGGCAGCAGTGCGGGCAGTGCCGATGGCGGCAGCAGTGGCGGCGACAGCAGATCCGGCGTGGCAGTGGGTGTTCTCGGCTCGGCGGGAGCGGGGACGGCACCTGTTCAGCACGTCCGAACGGGACACTTGTCGCGCAAGTGTTCCGAGGTCTTTAGCCGTCGACATCGACGGCGTTTGGAGCGCCAAAGTAGCCTGGACACGGCGGCAGCGGCGGCGAGCTCCAGCGGCGAGCACAAGTTGATGCGCAACCAATCAGACACAATAGCCACAGCGGCACCATCCTTCCTGCACTCCCAGCCGACGAATAAGGCGCGCGGCCAGGCCAATCCGCGCCAGCACTTCATAGCCAGCACCCCGTCGGCGGGATTGGGCGGTGGAGATGCCGCCTCCTCCTCGTCCGCCGTCGTGGTCATTGCCCCCGCCTCAAATGCCGCAGCGAATCCAGGACGCTCTTCGCGTCTGCAGCGCCACAGAAGTTCCGAGACGCACGACGAGAGGCTGAAGCACCAGAACCGCGTGGGTCTCTTCCAGCCGATTCTGCAGCTGCCGCATCACAGTGCTGCCAGCAGCATCGGAACGCTGGCGGTGATCGGTGGCGGCGGAGGCAGCGGGGGAGCCAACGACGTGGAGGACATGGAACTGGGACTGGCCAGGAATGCGGGCAGCGGCGGGGTGGCGGACGCTTGCAGCCGCGCACTGCAGTCCTGGATATTGGGTGAGTTTTTCTCACAGGTTTTGGGTTTTTGTGGTATCTTCATAACTTGCCATTGCAGATCCCTATCCGGATGTGTACCTGGAGGACGATAGCTACACCAAATCAGATCTGGGCATCGAGCAGCCGCACCAGCCGACGTTCCGTGCCCAGCATCACCACCATCACCACCACCACCACCACTTGCATCATCATCTGGGCGGAGCGATCATCCGGAAGGATCCCACCAGCACAATGTCTGCACTCCAGCTGGCGGGAGGCGCCCAGCCGGGAGCGGGTGGCTCGGGATCGAGCGGAAGTGGAGCGGCGGGTGGAGGCGGTGGCTCCGCTGCCGCGATGAAGAGACGCAGACATTCCAATGCCACTAGTTACAAGCACGGCTCGGGTCAGGGCAACAAATCCTCTTTGGCGGGCAGCGGCGGCGGCGGAGGCGGCGTGGGCAGGATCGCCGGTGGAGACGCTGGTGGATCAGCGACAGGCAGTGGAACAGCTGGCGGAGTGAGGCGCATCAAGAGCGCCGCCTTGGAGGTGCTCTGCCCGCAGGCCTCGGTGTCCAATCTCAGCCCGCATCCCAATAGCGTGGAGGCGATTTCGGGGCAGCAACAGATGCGAAACCCTCTGCCGCCGCCCAGCAAGAGTCTGGTGCGCAACCAGCACCTGAATTTGTACCCCACCCAGGGTTATGGGGACGCAAATCAGTCCACCGGAGGCGGAGGAGCGCCTGGTGCCGGCAGCACCTGCAGTAGCCTCTTCTTCGGCAGCTCCAGCGCCTGTGGCTCCACAACGGCCCTGATTGAGCCACCCGTCTATCCCATAGTGGAGCACTCGGACGAGAAGGGGGCCCACGAGGAGCACGAAGACCATTGCCTGGGAATTGGCCAGGGCAATGCCGATGATGATGACGAAGTGGACGATGTCCCGGTGAGGCGGAGAACGCGTGCGCTGGGCTGCAGCCAAACGCACTACAGCGCCGAGTCGGATGTGGGCGGATTCCTGGCGGACGACGTCGCCGCAGCGGAAGATGTGTTCAAAGACTTCGACGACAACCTGGAGCACATCCTGAGCGAGCTCCAGCAGACGCACAATCAGCTGGACGACGTGCTGAAAACCCACGATCTGCACCACCACTCGCACATGCAGCACCACCATCAACACCATCAGCACCACAAAGGAGGAGCTCCGGTGGAGGGCACTGGACCCTCGGGAGGCGCCGTGGCCGTCGGCGTGAGTGGCGGCAACGATGACGATGACGAGGAGACGGAGGACAACAACACGGGCTCCCGTTCCCCGCTGCTCAGCGATCGGAATCGCCAGCAGGCAACGCTGCGCGAAATCCAAGCGGACAAGCAACTCCGCCAGGAGCTATCACACCAATCTGGGGCAGTAATCCCCGCCGCCGTGGCACCCGTTCCCATTCGCAGTGAAGCGGACTCGGGCTGCCCGTCCAGCGATTGCGAGCAGGTGAGTGCCAGCTCCAAGGACCAACTGTTGGCGGGCATGGAATCGGAACAGCAGCAGCACCAGCATCAGCATCAGCACCAGCAGCATCAACAGCAATCGCAGCGTTGCCCGCTGGACGAGGAGCAGCCCTGCACCTCGAAGATGGCCGCCAAGAGCCTGGGAGCCATTCCGAAGGTGGTGAAGTACCGCGAAGTGGACGAACTCCGGAGGAGAAGGCGAGGCGGCTCCCCGGCGGATGTGAGCGAGGTTCAAGGCAACGAGTTCTCCTTGGTGAAGCAGTCGAAGCTGGCGTCGCGCAACTCCTCCTCCTCGAACTCGACGCACAGCATCAGCCTGACGGACAGCTTGACGGCGGACATCCACAAGATGCTCTGGCTGATGCACGGCGGGCTGGTGGACGAACGCGGGCGGCCGATCAGTGGCTTCTCGCCGGAGGGCACGCCCATTCCGGCGAACAGCAGCCTCGTGCCGCCGAACATGTCGAGTGCCCACTTCCAGTTCTACCAGGACGCCATCCAGGCGCTCCAGGGTGCCCATCCCACCTCCGGCTCCAGTGTGGAGCACATGACGAACATCGAGCGCGCTCTGGCCCGGGACAAGCTGCGCCTGGACACCAAGTTGATGTGCGAACAGCTGACGGCGGCGGCGGAGGCCAATTCCGGAGTGCGAGGACCCAGCACGTTGACCACCCAGCAGATCCAGCAGATGTACCGACAACAGGTGGACATGCTGATGCGTGGCAGCTCGGGCCCGCGGCTTCCTACCAGCGCCCCCTTCTCCGTGCAGGGACTGATCAATGTCATTCGCAATGAGCGGCAAGTGGCGCGCAGCCAACTGGACGCACTGCAGCAGCTGCGCGACGCGGCAGCCGCGGTGGCGGCCAATGCCAGTGAGGCGGCGTCCGTTTCGGCCTCGGGCATCGGCGGCGGTGGTGCTTCGAGTGGCGGCGGCGGTGGCGTTCTGAGCGCCCTCGGGCTGGCCAACCATCCCAGCAACCAGATCAGCCAGATCAGCCAAATCAGCCAGATGAGCCAGACCATGCTGAACGTGGACGGTCACTTCGCGCCCTACTGCGACTACTGGCGGCCGGCGTGCCTGCTCTCGGCCGCGGAGAAGCCGGCGGCGCCGAAGAGCTTCTACAAGTACCGGTTCAAGTGGTGCGGGCAGGAGCACGAGTTCAAGATCGCCATGGACCGGCTGGAGCTGCTGGCGCTGTTCGATCGGGACCTGCACTGGATGCACGTGCTCCTGGCCAGTCTGCTGTGCACCATGGTGGCCTGCCTGGGCGCGGCGATCCTGCAGCACGACCACTACAAGGACCTGTGCGCCCTGCTCTTCTGTGCGGTGATCGCCGGCGCTCAGTACTCGCTGGTGAAGAGCGTCCAGCCGGATGCGGCGTCGCCGGTCCACGGATTCAACAAGACGGTGGCCTACTCACGGGCCATATACTTCTGCCTCGGTGGAGGCATGCTGCTGCTGCTCAAGCGGTTGGACACGGACTACGGGGAACGACCGCCGGATCCGGTGGTCTTCTTTGGGATGCGTTATGCGCCCGCCGATGTGGTGGCCCTCCTGCTGAACGCGCTGTACATCCTGCTGCTGTGCTTCCCCATCATCTTCTCGGTGGGGCTGTGTCCGCAGATCAACACGTTCCTTATGTACCTGCTGGAGCAGATCGACATGCACGTCTTTGGCGGCAATGCTGCCAGCAGTCTGCTGGGTGAGTCTCCCCTGCCAATGCCATTTCCTTTACCCTCATTTACAATCATTTAATCGCAGGCTCCTTTCTGTGCGTGGTGCGATCGGTGCTGGCCGTAATGCTGCTCTACGGACCCCTCTACGGAGCTCTGGACGAGCACCGCGGCACGCAGTACATCCTGTTCTCGATCTTCTGCGCCATGCTGGTGCCCCTCGGCTACCACCTGTCCCGCTGTGCCAGCGACTTCAGCCACCTGTGGCGCCTCATCAAGACGTGCATCGTGAGCACGTATCGCGACGACGAGGACGAGGACCTCAGCCACGTTCAGCCGGTGGGTGCTGCAGGAACCGGAACGGGAGCTGGCAACAGTACTGCTCTCCAGTTGGCCACCAGCACGCCGAAGCAGCGCACGCAGACGGACTTAAAGGCGGCCGAGCAGGAGCACATCGAGCTGAGTACGCTGGAGAAGCAGCTGGCCGCCGGCGAGGAGCAGCAGGAAAGGGAACGGGAGCAGGCCGAAGATCAACTGGAGTCCGAGCAGGTCCTGCCGCTGCAGCAGAAGCACAGCAAGTCGAAGACCTCCTCGCTGGGCAGCAGCCAGCAAACGCTGGCCAAGACCATCAGCAGCAGCAAGAGGGCCATCACGGCCTCCAGTTCGTGCACCTCCATCGGAGTGGGAGAAGCGGCGGCAGAGAGTGGCGGAGTGCCGTCCACGGAACCAGTGGAGTGCGAGGATCAGGCGGGTGATCTGCTGCCCAGCGAGGAAACGAGCAAGCACGAGTTGGCCGAAGCCTATGACCAGGCGGCCAAAGCTGAGGACTCGGAGGACAAGATCTCCAGCTCATCGGCCACAAATCCAGCGGACATGTCCACACTGACGGCTGGAGCAGGCACTGCCACCATGGACGCCACGCCCGCTTGCCTGGAGGCAGATCCCGATGTCGAAGGAGAAGCGCCCGCCGACGAACACAAACATAACCCGGGAAATCTGGCAACGGGAATGGGAACGGGAACTGGCACCACCGAGGCCAGTGAAAACAGCAGCGGCGGAGGCGGCGGAAACGGGAACGCCAACGGGAGTTCCACGGGCAACGATCTGCCCGATCCGCTGCCGCGCAAACTGCAGGCCACGGTGACCACGCGGCTGAAGAACGACCTGGTGGTGATGACCCTGCTGGCGGTCAGTGTGCTGGGGCTGCACTGCAGCACCGTCTTCACGGCCCTGCAGCCGGACCTCAATGTGGTGCTGTACTCGTTCATCGGCGTCCTCGGCCTCCTGCTGCACTACATCGTGCCGCAGATGAGGAAGCACATGCCGTGGCTGTGCTTCGCCCGTCCCTTGCTGCGGCAGCGGGAGTTCGGCCAGTTCGAGGTGCTCAACGCCCCGAAGATCATGTGGTTCGAGAAGCTCTACATCTACCTGAGTGTCCTGGAGCGGAACGTGCTCTTCCCCCTGCTGGCCATCTCCTCGCTGACGGCGGACTCGCAGCTGATCGTGACCAAGTTCGGCCTGCCCTGGGGCACCCTCATCGTGGCCATCTGCGCCCTGAAGTGTGAGTCATCCCGTACTACTTAAAGATTGATTCCCATTTGTATATCTCCCTCTCCCTCACTTTCATGCTAGCTTATTTATTTATTAATACGTTTATTTGAGGTTTAAACTTTCCATTCTAACTCAAATCTTCCCCTTTGATTTACCAGTTGTGAGGAACGCATACTCCGATCCAACCAACCAGTACCTGATAATCATTTTTACGGTCTTGCTGTTCCGAATCGACTTTGCCATGGCCACAGAGACCTTCATCATTGACTACTTCTTCGTGTCGCTGGCCTTTCGCAAGTGCTGTGACTTCCTGCTGAAGGTGAGAACATACAATCCCAAAACCTGCAATCCTAAAATAACTAAAACATCTTCTGGATCAGCTGCAATTCATTGTGACGTACATTGCGCCCTGGCAAATAACTTGGGGCTCCGCCTTCCACGCCTTCGCCCAGCCATTCAGCGTGCCCCACTCGGCGATGCTGTTCCTGCAGGCGGGCATCTCCGCCATACTCTCGACCCCGCTGAATCCCTTCCTGGGCAGCGCCATCTTCCTCACCTCGTACGTGCGTCCCATCAAATTCTGGGAACGGGACTACAACACGCGGCGCATCGATCACTCGAACACGCGGCTGAGTTCGCAGCTGGAAAGGGACTTGGGTGCAGATGACAACAACCTGAACAGCATATTCTACGAGCACCTGACCCGCTCTCTGCAGCACTCGCTGTGCGGGGATCTCCTGATGGGTCGCTGGGGCAACGTCAACCAGGGAGATTGCTTCGGTAAGCTGACTTAACTTGATGATCTTTCTGGATTTAACACTGATACTTGCTGCAGTTCTTGCCTCCGATGATCTCAACTGCTTGGTGCACATCATTGAGCTGGGCAACGGACTGTGCACGTTCCAGATGCGCGGACTCGAGTTCCGCGGCACCTACTGCCAGCAGCGCGAGGTGGAGGCCATCACCGAGGATGTGGAGGACAACGACGGCTGCTGCTGCTGCGATCCGGGCCATCTGCCCCGTCTGCTCAGTGCCAACGCCATGTTCTCCACCCGCTGGCTGGCCTGGCAGGTCGTGGCCGCCCAGTATGTCATCGAGGGATACTCCATTTCGGACAACCTGGCCAGCGCCACGCTCCAGGTGTTTGAGTACCGCAAAGTGCTCATCACCTACTACATAAAGGTGAGTTCTCTTTTCGATCATCCCTCAATATCGAAAGCTAATTCAAATGCTATTCCATCAGAGCATCATCTACTATGTGGTGAAGAACCCCAAGCTGGAACAGTGGCTGGCCTCCGGTCCCATCCAGGACGCACTGCAGCACACGCTGGGCCGCCAGTTCGTCGACTTGGATCCCATTTTCAACTTCAACCTGGACGAGGACTTTGACTTCCGAGCCGTGGGCATCACGCGCTCCAGTTTCTGCTACGTGTACCTCAAGTGGATTAACTACTGTGTGGACATGCGCCGGGATGCCGCCACCATGGGATCAGCAGCACCACCCAGCCAACCATCGGCGGCTCAAGGAGGCGCATCCTCCGCACCCGCGACGGCTTCAGCAGCAGCTGCTCCACCGCAGCCGCCGGTTACGCCGGCCCACAATGATTCGAAGAGCACGCCGAATCTCTCTTCGCACGGTGGCTCAGCTGGTCCGACTTCCGGCCAGTCCAAGTCACAGTCGCAGCAGCAGCTGCGCCGCCCGCAGAAGAGCGGAGGTGGTGCTCAGGACAGCGGCGCAGCCGTGGGAGCAGGAGGCGCCGGAGTCGGAGGCGCCACTGGGGGCACCGGAGGAGGAGGACCGGGAACCATTGGCGGAGATCCGCAGCTGAGCAGCTCGCACAGTTTTGCGAACATATCGCGGCAAACGTCGGAAAGCGCGCCCGGCTTGGGTGGCTATGTCACCTACATGGATCAGAACGTGTTCGTAAAGCTGGCCAAGAGCAGCACGGCGACGGGAGCGCCGGGAGCCGGCACTGGAGCGGGCGTGGGGGCTGCCACCGGCCGAAAGGAGAGCCAGGAGAAGCCGGCACTGCGGCTCAAGTTGGCCAGCGTGGGCAAGGACGCCCCGCTGGTCTCCCTCTGCCTGGCGCTGGGCCTCCTGGCCCGGCGATCGCTGGCCACCGCCTCGCACAGTTCGCTGACCGGCGTGGAGTTCTTCCTGCACGGCCTGCACGCCCTGTTCAAGGGCGACTTCCGGATCACCTCGCCGCGCGACGAATGGGTCTTCGCCGACATGGAGCTGCTGCACTCGGTGGTGGCGCCGGCGGTCAAGATGGCGCTCAAGCTGCAGCAGGATCACATCACCAATCCGGACGAGTTCCTCGATCCGCATTCGCTGTACGAGGCGATCGATAACTGCTCCAACGAGCTGGTCATCTCGCACGAGGCCGATCCAGTGTGGCGCAGTGCAGTGCTGCGCGGAGCTCCGAATCTGCTGGCCCTGCGCCACGTGATGGAGGACGGCTCGGATGAGTACCGCATCATCCGGCTGACGAAGCGCTGCCTCAGCTTCCGGGTGATCAAGCTGAACCGCGAATGCGTCCGCGGTCTGTGGGCGGGGCAGCAGCAGGAGCTGATCTACCTGCGCAATCGGAATCCGGAGCGCGGGAGCATCCAGAACGCCAAGCAGGCGCTGCGCAACATCATCAACTCCAGCTGCGATCAGCCGATTGGCTACCCCATCTACGTGTCTCCGCTGACCACCTCCTATGCGGACACGAATGCCCAGCTGTGCGAGGTGATTGGCGGCGCCATCACGCTGGACACCATACGGCACACGGTGCTCGGCTGGTGGCATCGCATCCGGGAGCGCTGCCGCCAGGGCTGCAGCTCGGGATCGGCCCTGGAACCGCATCCGGGCTCGGGACCCGTGCAGCTGGGCGCCTGCAACTTCGGCAGCGGTGGCAGCGTCGTCGGAGCCGTGTCCACGGCCACGGGAGTGGGCGCCTCGGCGGGATCTGGTCTGGGTGTGACGGCACCCGGCACGGCAAGCAGCACCGGCGGCGAATCCGGTGACCTGGCGCCCGTCTTCATCTCGGCCCCGCTCTACAACACGCTCACCGTGAACAGTTACTACAGCGTGCGGCCGGGAAACGTTCCGGGCGGAGCCATTCCCGGCAACCTGGGCGGCAGCTACGTGAGCGACAGCCTGGCGGTGGTGCGCGGCGGCCTGGCCGTGATGCCCGTGAAACCCACCTCGACGACGTTGATCGCCGGACTGCTGAACAGAGAGCGGGATCAGGAAATCCCGGGCGCTGCTGTCGGAGGCGGAGGAGGAAGCGGAGGAGGAGCAGGGGCCAGTCGGGCCACCAGCAGTGGCGGAGTGCGCAGTCGAAGCCAACTGCACCAGCAGATCGGCAGCAGTCGGGGCCGAGATCACGAGCGCAGGGCCACGTTGCCCATTGCCAGCGGTGGCGGTGGCGGTGGAGCGGGCGGAGAGTCGGGAAAGGATCACCTGGCCACGCCGCAGACCCAAGTGGAGCACGAACCCAGTCCGCGCAGCACCAAGCTGTCTTCCTCATCGGGCAGCTTGGGTCTTGGCATGGGCGTCGGGCTGGGCAACATCATCACCACGCCCGGAGAGTATCCCCGCAAGACCAAGGGACCCATTTGCCTGACCTCCGTCGAAACGGCGGGAATGAGTGCATCGACGGCGGAAGGAGGAAAGCCCGCGGGATCGGGCACAGGAGCAGCAATCGGAGGCGGAGGCGGAGGTGCAGGCGGAGGTGGCGTCATCCGAAAGCCGCGCATCGAGATCTTCAAGAAAGTGATCATAGTTGATGACTCGGGGGTAAGTGGAGATATGAAATTCAAAATCACGGGGAAAAATACGAATTCGGCAAGCCGAATTTTCAAGAACCCTTGCAGTTATATCACTAAATTGTTTTTAAATTTAATATTTAAATATTCGTTAAATTGCCTGTAAGTTCGCGTGAAAAGTTCAGTGGGAAAGCAGATTGTTTGTCTTTGTGTAGAAAAAAGAAATTTGCTTGAAATTCAATTTGAACCAAAGTAGACACCGCACACTGCAAGGGTAACATCAAGTAACCAGTAACCAGTAACCAGGCTAATAATCATGAATCCCGAGCAGATCTACGACTGCCTGGACATCATCGATGCCGTCGTGTGGCCCAGCGAACGGATGCGCAACAACGGTGGCCGCTTGTCCTGGAAGGACTGGGAGCCGAGTGCCGGAATGGTCGGCCATGTGGTGCACTGCTGGACGCCCAACCACAAGGATGTGCGCTTCCGCTCGCACGTCAATCGCTACGTGTACCTCGTGGAGATCGGTGACCACTACGTGCCCGTGGAGGAGTTGGGTCTGCGGGAGTACAACCAGATCATGGGCAGCACCGAGGACATGGCCAACTCGCGTCGCAGTTCCATCCAGCGCGAGTTCCACGAGTACAACATGCAGCTCAAGCTGGCGGGCCTCACTCCGATTATCGGCGGCGGCGGCGACGTTGGATCCTCGACGACGACGACAACAGCAACGGGCAGTGGAACTTCCAAGTCGTACAAGGCCAAGATTCGAGCGGTGAGCAGCAGCAGCTCCGAGGACGAGGACACGTCCTCCACGCGCTCCATACCCTTGCCACGCGACGATCCCGGCGACCTGACGAACTTCACCAGGCTGGTGAGCATGTGGAAGGAGATCATATCGGACAATAACAAGCGCAGGTTCTACGATATCGGCGAGCTGTCGCCGGAGTTGCTCCAGAAGCTGGACGACGCAGTGCAGCAACAGCAGCAGACCGATCCTCCCGCCGAGGAAGTGCAGGTGGAGGAGGAGGAGAAGGAGATGGAGAAGGAGGCCAAAGATACAGCCAAAGTCACTGCCAACGAAGATGAAGATAGGCTCAAAGAAATGCAAGACAAATGGGAATTGGAATCGGTATCGGAATCGGACTCGAAAAAGGAAAAGGAAAGGGAGGCGGGGCAGGATGACGAAGACGCCCTGGAAGACGCCGAGGAGCAGTCGCCGTTGGAGGAGGTTACCGTTTCCGAGCCCGAGAACCAACCAGCTCCGCCAACACCGCCGCCCAGTCCCGTTCATCCAGTCCAGGCCAGCTGCACATCCAGTGAAAGTGCCAGTGAGAGTCCGAGTGCGAGTGCAAGTGCAAGTGGAAGTGGAAGTGCCAGTACCAGTGCCAACTCGCCCAGCTCCCCCTTGCACAGCCGGGAAGAGGAAGAGGAGGCAGTCGGGGCGGACGAAGAGAAGCCAGCAGTGGACACACCCGAACAGGCCACCGAGGAGGAGCCCCTCAGCGATGGAAACGACGAAAGCGAGACGGGAACAACGGTTTAAATAGGGAGGATCTACCTGAGGGACAGACCTACCTTCACATAGATTTGCATTTGTTTGCCAAGCAAACACCGACAAAGGCGTGGATGCAACACCCAGTACCCAGTTCGACATGGAAAATGGAAATGGACACGGACACAATCTTGTAATACATATCAGCAAAGAGCAGGGATAGAGGATAGAGAACGATTCTACAGACGACGACGATCCTGCTCCGGGCTTCCGCACTGTGTGTCCATTTGCCTGGGTGGTGCCACAATCCGAACACCGATCCTGGCCAGAAACAAACGTGTAACAAACAACAAATGAAAACACTTCCAAGAAATCAAAGTAAAGTTTTTAAAACGACTGCGTTTAGTGTATGCATAGGAATTAGGAGAAAACTACAATAATTCAGACAAACAAACAAAAACAAAAAAACAAAAAACAAAACAAACAAAAAAAGATGAAAAAGAATTCAATTTTTAGTATTAATGGAAAGTTATAGATCATACTCAATATATAGGAAAAAAGAGCGCAAATCGAGATAAAGATAAAGATTCTGGGATGGGAGATCATAAGATAAATATCTAACTAATTGTTGTAACTTGCGAATTGTATAATACGAAAACGGAAAACGGAAAACCAAATGCTTCTCAAACATTACCTATTTTGTTCTTTCTCCTCTTGCTAGCCAATGCAGAAATATTAAGCAAACCTAAAGAATTTATAAATGTATATTTAACGGAAATTAGTTTAAAGTTAATGTTAATGAGCCCCACACAAACACAAACACACACACACATACAGACAGATAGACACAAAACATACCAAAATTGATTGTTGAAGAGTACACAAAGGATACAAAATAAACCCGCATTAAATTAGCCTAAGCGATAAGAGAACTTCGGACAGGATTCAAGTTACAAAACTAAGATATTACATACAATTCCTAGATAATTAAGAGGATGATGAGGATGAGGATAAGGATAAGGACAAGGATGAGGATGAGGATGAGGACGAGGAGGATCAAGTGGAATGACGACATGTAAAGCTCTCACGTTGCCTTAATATATTAGACTGATTTTTTCTACACACACATTTGTAGACGTATGTATGGATGAGATGAGATTCGAGGAGTCCCAGCCACAGCAACTGTCTGTCTGGGAAGGAGGAGGAGCTGCAGCAAAACGGAGTCCTAATCCCGATCCCAACTAGCGATTTACATGTACATAAACAAAATATAAACAAATAGGGAAGAGCGAAGCTAACCGAACAAAGCTACAGCTACAGTTTTTGTCGGCCAATCCGAATCCGATCGTTCCGTTCCGTTCGATGCGTATATAACCAAGGCATATAAGTACTACCCACTATATAGCCACATGCCCAATTAGCCAAATCTCTCATAAATACAAGTGCAAGTGTAATGCTAATTTCTCACCAACAGCAGATGGATTGTATTAAACTTACGATGAATAACCAAGAGAGAAAACCAACAGACAACAAACAAACTAAACAAATACAAAATACAATGAATATTGATTATTTCTATGTACATATATGGATTGTATTAAACATTTATCGAAACTTAGCTGTTAACAAAAACATTTTTATTCCCCCTCAATCCACTCCATTTTTTAGTTCCATTTAAAACAAATTTCATATTTATATTATACATAAAGAATTATATAAATATATATCAATTAAATAAATAATAAATGAAACTTGTTATACAAAAAAGAGTTGACCCCGCTGTTTCACTAGATTTGTTTGTTTGGAGTTCTGGTTACTTCTTATCCTTATCAACTGGTGGCCACAAGGGACTCAATTCGCTGAGGGCCACGTCGTAGAGCAAGTTCTGGTACTCCTCCAAAAGGACTAGCAAGACGGAAGGATAAGTTATTATGGAATCTTTGGAAGACAGTGATATGTACTCACAGTGCGGATCGCGTGTCCACTGGTCGAGCAGTGCCTGGCGACTGTGGATCTGCTTGGTGATGAGAGCTCGCTTGAAGCGCAGCACCTTGTCGTTCATGCTGGACCAGCTCTTAATTACGGAGGCGGGCGTGGACTTCAGTTTGCCGCGAAAATCAGCCAGCTTGGAGCATACTTGTCCCTCCAGCAGGAACATGCCAAAGTAACTGCAAATCCAAAAAGGTATTAACCACTTGAATCGAAGTCGGATCTTCTGGAGACTCACCAGCAGGCCTTCTCGCTGAGCGGCATTTCAACCTCGCCGAGCGGCAGCTCCCATCCCGACTTGCCGAACGTGGCATCCACGTGGCAATATATCTTCCCAGAAGCCTTATCAAACCTGGGCGCGGGATCTTCGCGCACTTCACGGATGTTGCAAAGCAAGGGAGCATACAGAAGCAGCCACTCCGGTTCGATGGCAGTGATGCCGCGGATGAACATCTTCGTGGAGTCACCGTTCTGCAGCTCGTACGCCTCCTGGTAGATGACCCACTCGGGTGCCTTTTGGCGCAACACCGAGGACACGTGCAGGAAAGCCGGCTCCTCCATGTCGGCGCAGTGATAGGCGTACTTAAGCCGTCTCCGTTCCTCCTTGTCGGCAATGTCGGCGAGCGGCACCTTCCTGGCCACCCGGTCGCCCATGCCGGCCAATAGAATTTGCCGCAGAAACCGCGCCTGGGCGTCCGTGGGTGGCTTCAGTTCGGGATCCACGCCCAGCTCCACATCGCTCACATTCAGATTGATCTCGTTGGTCAGCTGGACGCGCAGCTTGCGCACCTCGCTCACCGCCTTCTGTCGCAACCCATTCGTGGCACAAAACTCCGGCAAGCGGCCCTGTGACCCGGCGTATTCCGCTGCTCCCACGGCGCGCAGCAAGACCATGGGATCGCCGAGCAGCTGGTAGTTGCCACTGGCCGCCCAGCTCTGGCGTTTCCGATGGAATCGATTCGCCCCGGGCGCCACATCCTCGTCCCTCTGCACCCCCGTCTCGATGAGCACTTCCTGGACGGAGAGAGCGGCCACCAGGCAGACTGTGTAGGGCAGCAGGTTTTGCTGGTGGGACAGGGCCAGCATCTTGCCAAAACGCGGGGCCACCGGAAACCGGGAGATCACGTGGCCCAAACGTGTGACGGCCGGGGGTAAGTCAGTTTTCTCCGACTTGTTGGCGCTGGCCTCGAGGGCACCCAGTACGGTCAGGCGATGCTCGGCGGCCTGCAGCTGCACCTGATCCGGCGGTGAGGGAAAGGGGAAGTGCACCACGCGATCGATGCCCATGCAGCGCATCTGCAGCATCAGATCCTCGACGGGCTTCTTCTGGATGTCCGGCTGCGAGAAGTCCTCGAAGCAGTCATTGTACACGGCACTAGAGTAGAGGCGATAGCAATGGCCGGCACTGATGCGACCCGCTCGTCCAGCTCGCTGATCCGCCGAAGCCTTGGACGTGTAGGTCACCACAAAGGCGCTCACACCGGTCAGTTTGTCGTAGAGCCGGGTCTTCTGGCGACCGCAGTCTACCACGTATTTGATGTGCGGAATGGTGAGCGAGGTTTCGGCCACATTGGTGCTGACCACGCACAGGCGACAGCCTTCGGGAACAGGTTGAAAGATGCGGTTCTGCTTCTCCGAGGAGAGCAGCGAGTAGAGGGGCAGGACCCAGAGGGGTTGTCTTTGGCCAGAGGCCATATCCGACTCGCCTTCCAGGCCCATTTCCTCGTCGTCTTCTTGCTCCTCCTCGTCATCCAAGCCCTCGTCCCCATCCTGCTGCTCGTGCATGTCGGCTTCGGTGTCATCGCCTGGCAGTTTGTAGTCGTCCAGATTGATTTTGGGCAGAGCGATCTGGGCCAGGAACTTCTTTTTGGACTTGCGGATGTTGCGGATCACACGCTTCATGTCGAACTCCAGCTCCTTGGGATCCTGCGTGGTTTCTGTTTCATCCTGCTTTGTTTCCTCCTTCTCAGCCTGCACCTCCTTAACCGTCTCCGCCGACTCCTTGGCTGGCGGGCGATATGGAAACATGCGTCGCAGCTTGCGAACCAGTTGATTGACTTCTTGCTGGCCGGTGACAAATATCAAGATGCCACCCTCTGGCAGCTGGTTGTGGATCTTCAGCGTCTTGCGATAGGCCTCCGCCACGTAGTCGTCGGGCGTGCGCTTCTGGAAATGAATGGTAACCGGAAACTGACGCGCCTCTACTTTGAGCAATGGTGGTGGAACCTTAAATAAACGTGTATTCTCTGTAAAATCGGTTACCCGCAATGTGGCGGACATAATAATCAACTTCAGCGGTTGGCCACGTTTGTGTCGCAAGGGGACAATCCTCGAGAGCAGGCCCACCAATATATCTGTGTAGACGCTTCGTTCGTGAGCTTCGTCCAGGATGATCACCGAGTACTTGCTGAGCAGGAAGTCGGTTTCGATCTCCTTGAGCAGCACACCATCGGTCATGAATTTGATGCGCGTGGCCGGGGTCACGTTTCCCTCAAACCGAATAAGGTAGGACACTTCGCTCTCCGGCAGATTCATCTCGTGAGCCACGCGCTTGGACATGGCAATTGCAGCCACTCGACGCGGCTCCGTCACACCGATCATTTTGTGTTGGGCGTAGCCCGCCTCGTAGAGGAACTGCGGCAACTGGGTGGTCTTTCCGGAGCCAGTTTCACCGGCCACGATCACAATGGGATTCTCGTTGATTGTTTCCATGACCTGCTGCTCCTCAGCGAGGATCGGCAGGCGGAGACGGGACTCTTGGACCTCCGGTGAGCGGTGCACAGGTACGTAGACGGTTTGATGAATGCACGCGGGTGGAGTGGGCTGCGGCTTTTGCTTTTGCTTGGGCTGTTCCACTTCGACTTTGGGTTGAGCAACAGTAATTGGTGCAGGTATGGCAGCGGGAGCGGGTTGAATTGGTGGCTCGTCATCCGAGGAGTCCTCGTCATCGTCCCCGTCATCGTCTTCCTCCAAGCTGACCACATTCGGATTCTTGCGCTTGGCCTCCAGTTCGTCTTCCTCTTCCGCGAGCAACTTGCGTTTGGAACCTTTGATGGCATTCACACGGGGACCTGAGCCAGAACTCTTTTCTGCCAGAACTTGAACTTGACGCTCCTTCTTTTTGGCCAGATACTCGTCGAGAGTGGGTAAACGCTTTAGGCCCACCGTTTGCACTTGGCTGATGGATGTGTATTGCTGTAACTCCGCCTCAGGGATTTGAACGGCGGCCAAATTGTCTAAAAGTTGAGCGCGCTAAAATATACAAAATTTGGGTAAAACATGGAATCATTTGCAATCTCCGAAAGAAACGTACGCCCTCCTTTTTCTTTTTCTTGTCCACAATGGCCTGCAGATGCTTGCGCTGCTTCTTAGTGAGAATCTTCGTGTGCTGCACCTTATCCACTTTGATTTTGGTGGCCCGCTTCTCAGAAGGAAGGACCAAGGCGTTAGCCTCATCGTACCCCGTCTGACTTCCACCAGCCACTGCCTCCACATCGATGTGAATCTAATTGGAAACGGCAAAAGGTGAGTTCGTATCTCATAGATAGGCAATTAAATTGTAATATCCGTACCTTCTTTACCGCCGAGTTGTCAATTAGAGTCTGCGGATTCTGCCGCGCCTTGGCATTGTGAACTTTCTTGCCCATTTTTACTTTATTAATAGTATTAACAAAGTAATAATATTATCAAGTTTTAAACAACAAACATTTGGTTCAAATCAAGTCACACGTGCAGCAGCCGATAGACACCTTGTCGATAACAGCATGGGCGATACTTCACTAAATATGCAATGCCATTGATTTATAATTTTGATTCACTATATTATTAACTATCGTAGAAAATCTGGTTACTAGAGCAGATCAGCTTGCAATTTTTTAAACAAATATTGGTGAAATAGCACAATTTATTTTAATAACATATTCCAACTTTAACTTATAAATTATCGATGGCACCTGCGGGCAACTATCGTTTTCGGGGATAGTGCCATCGCTGGTTTGACAGCACTGGAATCGGATCGTATTTTTTCCAAAAAAAACTTTTCATAATAAAAAAAAGCGTGTGTTGTTTAGTTTTTGATCGATTTTCGTGTGCCGCTCCCAATTAGTTGGCTTTCCTTGAGTGTTAGATACGATCTATTTTCCTTAAGTTGATTTGTGCTCCTTGCAATGGTGTCCAATAATCAATTCCAGCAGAACCGGGCCATGCAGTCGCAGCAGCAACTGCACCAGCAGCAGCAGTATCAGCAGTACTCGCCGCAGCAGCAGCAGCAAAATACGCAGCAGCGCAACAACCACAATAGCAATAATAATAATCTTAATAATAGTAACAATAATCCCCGTGCTGCAGCAGCTCCTTATAGAAAACCCTTTCGCCCAGGCAACAACAATAATTCCAGTCCAGGAGGCAATGGCAATGCTAATGGCAATGGGAATGGAAACAATGGCAACGGCAACAATGGCAACCAGATGATGTTCTCCTCCAGTCAAATGCCCAGCGACCCGCTGTACATTGACTTTAATAATCCTTCTCCAGGCAACAAACAAAATCAAGGAGACGGATTAAAGAAGAAGCCACTGAAGGGCATTAAGCAACAGTATCCCAATTCCAATCAGCTGCAGGGCAAGATGAACAACCAGAATAACAACAAGCAGATGAACCAGCAGCAGCCACCCTTTAACAATCAGATGAACGGAGGCGGTTGGCAGAGTTATCCTAATAACAATCCCAACCTGAATCGTGGCTTTAATGGGTTCCAGCGTGGACCGCCACCAAACAGACCGCCCGGACGCCACATGATGGGTCCACCGATGGGTCCCATGGGCCCAGGACCCGGACCCCGTGGCCCCGGACCAATAGGAGGCCCCGGTGGGCCTTATCCGCAGATGCCTTTCCAGCCACCGATGCCCGGGATGCGTGGGCCGCCCATGCCGCCCATGGGTGGGCCACCGCCGCCACCACCGCCACATTTTATGCGCCGCAATGGTCCCGGACCGGGTCCCATGATGGGTGGCCCACCGCCGATGCACATGATGGGTCCCCGAATGCCGCCGCGTGGCATGCCACCGGGTCCTTTCGGGCCGATGAACATGAACGGCGGCCGGATAATGAAGCCGAACCCCAAGCTGATCAAACAGGCAGTGAAGGGAAAGAGCAGCATCAAGACGCTGAAGAACCTGATCAACCAGTATCCTATCGACAAGCCCTGGGTCACGGATGAGATTCGTGCCGAGCACGCCAAGAAGACGGACATCGAGAATCGGTTAAAGGGCCACAAGGACGACGAACTCTTTGCCCAGTACAAAGGACAGCGGGACAAGTTTGTGGGGCTCTACGAGGCGGCGAGGGAGGAGTATCTGAAGCAGGAGGCCGCTAGCGTCAAGGCCAAGGTAAGCACTGCACCCCCTGAGCGATCCCTAGAATCCCCTCTTTTTATCGCTCCCCTCGGAATAGGAGTCACATGAAATAGTAACCCTTCAGGGATGCACATCGATTTCGGGTAAAGTTTCGGTTCAAACTGAAATCGATTTGCAACCTCGATTCCGTAACCCCCAACCCAGTCCCACTTTGTTGCGTTTCCCAGGTAGGAGGAAAAAGGTATAATGAAGCAGAGCGAGGAAGTGAACTGCAACCTGCTGCACTTCTCCCGGCCATTTGGCTATCCTGGAGTTTTGAGGGCCAGGTTGCGTTCGCTTCGACTTGCACCTTCGGTTCCCTTGGCACAATTCCAAATCCGCAAAAGAGAAAATAAACGTTTTAATATCTAAAATCCAACAAAAAAATATTTATATACATTAATAAAGAACATATTTTCTAAACTATTTAAAGTTGGAATCAATAACTTTACATTATTTTAGTAACTTAACAAATTCTTTACAAATCAAGCCTCAGAACTCAAAACTTTCACACTCACTTTTATATTTTTTAATTATCCATCAGATAGATTCAATATAATTTTGACTAAGTGAGAACAAGTTTTGTTGTTCAAAAAAAAACTATGCAAAGTCAACGATAGTAAAAGATTTTTATTTTAAATTAAATTAAATAAAATAGCAAACTGCTTGTGAAAACAAGAATAGATCTGAGAGCTCCTTTACACACTGAAAAAACAGCGCTTTCAAAACTCGTTGGCAATACTCGTATTTCTTTTGCAGGATGCCAAGTCAGACAAAGACAAAAACGCAAATTCAAATCAGTGCGCCGCCCCTAAGGCTGAAGGCGCTAAAGATGCAACAATTCCAAATCCCTAGGCAGCCAATGCAACCGAAACCGAATACCGAATCGAATCAAATCGAATCGAATCGAACCGAATCAAGATCAGGCGACACACAGAACAGAACCTAAAACTAAAGCTAAAACGTAAAACAGAAATAGCTATTCAAAACTAAAACTAGAAACTAAAATACAGAGAAAGCCAGCAAGAGCAAGAGTCTGACAATTGAAGACGTATTGAACTCAAGACCCCGACTCGACATCGGATATATATACACACTCCTTCTCCGGAGGAGGTGCTTTTGTCATACGTTGCTTTTGCGACTGAGAACTGAGCTTAGTAACGATAATGTTAAAACAAAAACAAAACAGACCCCAGCGATGATTATGTGGGATAATTATATTGATCAAGATTAATATATATTGATTATTCTTACCTATTTCTAACGATGATTGTTAATTGTGAACGTAACGTAAATTAGAGTATTGTAATGTAACCGTAACGTAATAGTTTCCTTATTCAAAGAACAGCTTTTTCTTCAATTCTAAGCTGCTGCAATATCAATTATTTGTACACAACATTATACATATACCCCTAGCTACATATGCATATATATTGATATATATAATTAATATTTAATATTCGCTGCCCGAGTGCTCGAAACGCAGAATTATTGTATCAGAGAGTCCGCACTCCGAGCACCCGGGCAAAAAATCACTCTGTAAGCCTTTGATTACACCACTTGATTGTATTTTTAAATTAATTCTTAAAAACTACAAATTAAGATCACTGTGAACGTGTTCTCGATGGCGTGCATCTACGGATTTGTTTTTGTGTTCTTTTCCCTGACCCTTGACCCCTCACCGTGACCCAATTCCCCTCATCCCCATACTGTTTGTAGACTAATAATGCTCTAGATAGTGAGGACCTAGATCAACCTGACAAGTAACCTTAAAGCAGCCCCAATAAGTGGAATTGTAGCAAGTAATTGTTAAATTTATAAAATAGCAGCAATTCCTAAAACCATTAAGTGAAAACACTTACTTAGCAATAATATCCTGGCCTTAAAATCAAAATAATAAGGATTTAAGCACAGTTTCGGTCCTCATTGAAAGCCTTCTGATTAAAGTTAATAAAACTGATTTAACGCCTTTAATATGTCAACAATTTGAATACAAATCAGTTAACATCAAACCCTCAATTAGCAACTTAACAGATTTCAAAACCAGCAGAGTATTTATAAGGCACAATTTACTCCGGGCAAAGATTTAATTGGATTTATTGTAGAATTCATAGATTCAGTGAGGAAACACTAAACCCTCAGGTAGCTAAAAACAAGCCACAATGGTAAATAGGGAATATTAAGACTAAATATTTAAGCACATGGCACTTTGACCTTGCTTGTCAGGTGTTGTGGGCTCGACCGTAAGTTGATAACCCATAGATGACTCCCCGATTCCCCCAAAAGAACGAAGAATACTGCAGAATAAAGAGAGATTTTCAACAAAACCAAAAGGCCCAGCGTCAACTTTTACTTAAGTGGGGATCATTATTGACGGCCTATGTTTATTTTCCCAGCCACTTAGCCAAAAGTTGGGCCAACATTTCGTGTAATAGCGCAATCACAGATAATCGTCGGAGTATAAAAGCTGAAGGATTACCTCGGTCACCTTAAAAGGTAAGAAGAATCATGGCAGTGCAAGACGAAATTCAACTGGACACCCATAGAGCTCTCTTTTACCACTGGCGGGTTTGGGAGCTTACTGGCCTGATGCGACCACCAGGGGTTTCCCGCTTGAGCTACCTGGTGTACTCCATTGCGATCAATTTGGTGGTCACCTTGTTGTTTCCCCTGAGTCTGATCGCCAACCTGTTGTTCACCACCAATTTGGCCGGAATGTGCGAGAATCTGACCATTACCATCACGGATGTTGTGGCCAACTTGAAATTTGTCAACGTGTACCACGTGCGGAAGCAGCTTCATGAAATCCGAACGCTCCTGCGGCAAATGGATCTGAGGGCCACGCAAGTGGGAGATCCCGAGGAACTGTCCGCTTTGAGGAGGGAAGTGGAGATCGCACAGGGCAGCTTTCTGACCTTTGCAAGGATCTTTGTTTTTGGCACCTTGTTGAGCTGCATTCGGTTGATCATTCGTCCTGATCGGGAGCTTCTGTATCCGGCTTGGTTCGGCATCGACTGGCGCAATTCGACGCGAAGCTATGTTCTGATTAACATCTACCAGCTCTTCGCTTTGGTGGCACAGGCCGTCCAGAACTGCGCCAGCGACTCGTATCCTCCGGCGTTTCTCTGCCTGCTCACGGGTCACATGCGTGCCTTGGAGCTGAGGGTGCGGCGCATCGGCTTTGGGCCAGATTTGAGCAAGGAGGAGGTGTACGAGGAGCTGATCGAGTGCATTCGAGATCTGATGCGCGTGCATCGGCTGAGGGAGATCATCCAGCACATCCTTTCGGTGGCCTGCATGGCCCAGTTCGCCTGCTCCGCCGCCGTTCAGTGCACCGTGACCATGCACTTCTTGTACATGGCGGCTGACCACGAACTGACCGCCATGATTATCTCCATTGTCTTCTTCACGGCCGTCACCTTGGAGGTGTTGGTCATCTGTTACTTTGGCGACAGGATGCGAACGCAAAGCGAAGCTTTGTGCGATGCCTTTTACGCCTGCAATTGGGTTGAACAGCTGCCCAAATTCAAGCGGGCTCTTCACTTCACGCTGGCCAGAACCCAGAGGCCATCGCTCATCTTTGCCGGCAACTACATCCCCCTCTCCCTGGAGACCTTTGAGCAGGTGGGGAATAACATACTTATAACATTTATATGTATAACATATCTGCTTCATTGCAGGTCATGCGGTTCACCTACTCTGTTTTTACGCTTCTGCTACGCGCCAAGTAATTTTGATTGCCTGGTGCTTGAAACGAAATCCGTATATTTCGAATTAATCTTAACTAATATTTATCTTTCATTAATATAAATTTCTTTAGGATTCTTTTTTATTCATATATTTATAACAATAATAATAATTATAGCAAATATTATAATTATAATAATATTAAAACATATAAAAGTATAATATATAATAATAATATAAAATAATATATTATAACAATACTGCATTTTATTTTATTTAATATGTAGTTGCATTACAAGATTCTTATATTTATAGTGTTAATAATTCTTTTACAAATTACATATTTAGTTTTGAGAATATGTATATATATTTTTATAAGGTTTTTTTAAATAGGAAATAAGCGCGAAAAGAGATGTCAGCATCCACAAACACAATAAATAATTATTTTTTCTAAATCAACACATACAAAGAAAAAAGCAATGTCTTCTGATTTGGGAATAATTAAATGGGGGAATTAATCTAAAAAAATTTCATGGAGCAATTTTGTCTATTCGGGCAGCCAAATTGGCAGTTTCTGAAAACGAAATACCAGGCGAACATAAATGCCTAGAAGGTGGCTGCACTAACTGACGAACGAGCGTAGCCGAGACTCGAACTATTTCCTTTTTGGTGAGTTACACCAGCCACCGCATGATCAAATGGTTTGAAACTTGGCTGTTTTGACCACCCAGAGGGCGTGGTTTGAAACTCGACTACGTTGTGGCTGATGTTACTCACCAAAAAGGAAATAGTTCGAGTCTCGACTATTGCACGTTCGTCAGTTAGTGCAGCCACCTTCTAGGCATTTATGTTCGCCTGGTATTTCGATTTCAGAAATCTGCCAGTTTGGCTGTCCAAATGGACAATGCTCGCCGGGGTTCCGTTTCCTTCGACCGAATTCGAGTATTTTAGACAAATTCAAGAAGTCTTCCAAAAATGCCAATAAATTAACCAAAATTATTTCATTTCTTTTTAATTTCCGTCAATAATTTTATTCCATAATAAATATTGGGTAAGTTCCTTATAAATATTTTTTACATTAATAGAATATTATAATAAGCATTAAACTAAATAAATTCCCACTGCAATAATGTATTTATTTCCAAGCTGCCAGGACTCCAGGAAGGCCATGTCGCTTAGGTTCAAGCTGCTCACGTTGATACATTCAAAGCATCCTCCCAATAAATTTTAAAGAAATTAATATAAACATACATAAGCATCATGGTGTGTTACTATTTAATTGTTTCCTTTTTACAATATAAGGTGATTGTAATGCGAAATGGAATAGCTTTCTGCGGATCAGTCACCGGCATCCGTCGTCCCTGCTGGTGTAGGACTTGCTGCATTTGCTGGGTCGGATTCAATGACTGGAGCGGGCACTTCGTCCTCCGTAACGTCTTTCTGTTTTTTCCACATCTTGGCGGCGGCCAGCAGCTTGAGATTGGGCCGCGCCATCTCGTCCTCGGGGAATATGTAGTCGAAGACCTCCTCCCATCCCTCCTCTACGCCATCGTCCGAGACGATCTTCTGCCGCTTCTTGATGCGTCGCGGCATCTTGTCCATAACCTTTTGCAGAGCCTGTGAATCGGATGCGTCACGTTCGAAGTCACGCCACGCCTCCAGGAGCAGCACACGCGACTCCTTGTCACCCAGCTGGCGAAGCATATCGTTGGCCCGCTCGTAAATCCTCCTGGCCAGCCGCACGTTCAGCTCCGCATCCTGTCCGCTGTCGCCGTGGTTAAGGCCCATCTCGAATTTGGCGAACGACATCCAAACCTTCACGTGCTGCGTGCGTTCGAGAAGTCGCTCGTACAGCTGCCTGGCCAGTTCCGTTTCGCCGAGGGCCACCTCAAAGTCGATGTACGCTTTCCACAGCAACTCCGGCATATCCAGTCGCGACTGATGCACGGCCAGCTCGAAAATGGCACGCGCACGCTCTGTGTCGCCCAATAGGTTCTCAAGCTCTGCGAATTTCATCCAGGTGACACAATTCTCCGGACCAAACTCCAGAAATTTTTCATACAGCAGGCGGCAACGCTCGAACTCTCGCAGCTGAATCTCTAGGTCAATGTATCCCCTAAAGAGTTTGTCCCGGGGGCACATGCCAATAGCAAGACCAAGAGCTTTGCGAGCCCGCTGCAGCTCCTTGCAGCGGATCTCGAACTGGGCGTACAGCAGCCAAAGCTTGCTAAAGGTGAACTGTTTGTGTGGTATCAGCTCGAGGCAGGTCTTGTAGATCTGCCTCGTTCGGTCCGCATCCTCCGCTTCGAGTTCTTCGTACAGAGCGTAGTTGATCCACAGGTAAATATAGCGCCGCCAGAAGTTCTTTTCGTTTGCCGGTGGCACATTGGAGATGGCTCGTTCGTAGGTCTCGCGAATCTGATCGCGCTCGCCCTCCGCTTCGATCAAGCGCAGATAATCGAACCAGGCATCGTAGTTGGTGGGATTGGCTGACACCTCCTGCTCATACTGGTACTTGCGTTTGGACACAATGACATCCTCGATGCCCGCCCGATCGCCATACTTCTTCTCATGTATCGTGTACGCCTTGAACAGCTCTTGTGTGCGTTCCTTGGGCAGGTGATCCAATGCGTACTTGTAGATAATGCGCGCCCGATCGTGCTCCTTCTGACCCTCCTCAAAACGAGCGAAGGCGATGAACAGCCGCTCCTCGATGTACTCGTCCCCGAAGAACTCCACAGCACGTTCAAAAACACGCCGCGCGCCATGGATAAAGCCATGTGACTCCTCGAAGCGGGCAAACTTAATCCAGTTCTTCACATCCGGATGCACATAGACGAAACGCTCGTAGACCTCACGAGCCCGATCGATCTCCTTGTAGCGCAGCTCGAAGTTGACGTACGTTTGCCAGGCCTGCTCCTCCGGTTGCCATTCCATCCAGCGCTCGAACACCTGACGCGCGCCGGCTACGTTTTCCAGCATCTCCTCCATGTAGGTGTACTTGTACCAAAATTGATTAACCCGCGGCATGATGGTGACTGCGCGATCCCAGAGATTGCGGGCATGGTTCACCTGCTTGTTCTTCATCTCCATCTCGGCATACTTTAGCCAGAGGGTAACATTGCGGTGCTCATTATCCAGGGCTCGTTCCCAAATGGAGCGAGCTCGCTGGATCTCCTGCTGCTGCTCCTCCCATTGGGCGTACTTTATCCAATGGCTGACTACCATGCGGTTCTTGCGGAGATTGTCCTCAAACGTCTTGCGCTTTCGCTGCTGGTAGTCGGCCAACTCGGCGGGATCGGAGATCTTTTGCTTGGGCGGCGGCGGCAGGATCTCCAAATCGCGCTCCTTTGCCTCACGGAGCAGTTGCTCTGCCGTAATTTGCACCTCCGCCGGCGCCTTATTCTTTACCTGGTGGTGGTGAAATTTAACATTAATTGCCTGCTACCAAGGTTTGCATTTTGTTTTATACTCACCTTCGCCACCTTGGGCATCTTTTGTGGCCGCTCCATTTTTAAACTCCGGCTTATTAACAGTAAATCGCTACGAACTAAAATAAATCGCAAACAAATAATGCCAAAGTGTTGTGTTGGCGATGTGAGTCTTTCGATAGTCGAATTGGTATCGATAGTTGACTTGTTTTCGATAGTCCGTAGTGTTGCCACTTCTTTGTTACGCACTGCTTGAAATTGTAAAGACTGTAAATAAAGCAGTTACTTTTTTAAATGTCTATTTGTTTAATTTTTAATAGTTTAAAGACAAATACAACTAAACAATTACAAAATGAGCTTTATTTAAGGCAAAAATGCCTTAGGAACAGTTTCAATACACAGGCACATACACAAATTTTATAATAATAAAAAAAATCAAAACCAATCAACAAATATGAAAAAAAAAATGCCAGAAAATTGTGACCCTCTCCAATCATTTGAAAAATCTCCACGAGTTGCCGTTACGCTTTTCAGTTTTCTCCACTACCCAATGATTGGGGTCCATCAGATAGTCACTGTGAAATGGAAACGAAGCGTTACTAAATGGTAGACTCGCAGATCAAAAACCTACCGATGCTTAACCAAGGATTTTTGGGTCTGCGTCCGCAAAGTTTCCAACGATCCAGCTCCTCCGCCGTACTCCTCCGGCAACATCGCCCGGGGTACAAACTCATATAAAGTGTCCAAGCTGACAGTGTGAAAGCGGATCTAAAAGATATCCAATTGTAATTGAGATCGTATTTTTTAACTGCATTAAGTTGTGGCTTTTTAAATTGGTAACCCAAACTTTAAAAATGATGTATTGGTATAATATAATCTTACCAGTTTGAAAACCTCGTCGCTGATGAACGGCTTCACCACGCTAACGATTCGATCCAAGTATGTTGGACAGTTTACCATGTGGATGGCGCGCAGGCGCACCGGGAATGCCAACTGAAGAAACTTGATGTACGCCCGAAGAGTGCTGATCGTCAGTCGGGAAATATGTCTCATGGTGGTGCCCTTCATGTCGAAAATCTGCACCTCGCCCTCGGATAAAAGCTCTGGATTAGCAGAATCGTCCGGCGTCACGAAACGACAATCGCTGACCATAAAGAAGGCGCGCGTATCCTCTGTGTGGTGCATCTGCGAATGAAAATGGTCTAAATAATGGCTCCAAATCCAAATTCACCTAATATTTACCTTTGATGCATCAAAATCCCGGAAGCAGTACAGCGATACCTTTGCTTTATCAGGTGTTAGACCCGGCAGCGGTAAGATGTCACTATAATAAGATAAAATTTTAGTTTATTTTAAGTCAAAAGAAACCTGCAGAAAGTATAAAATAAGTTGTTCTGCTGATAAGGTACACTCACGCGTAGTCGAAAGTATTCCGGCTGTCCGCGTCTAGAGGATCCCTCTGGATAAAAAGGTGAGGATGTCGGTTGCGCAGGGCATAGTTCACCTCAATGAGCTTCTGGGTCTCCGCCAAGTCGCCATACATGCACTGGTAAAAGCGACGGAGAAGCAGGGGATCTACAAATAGACCATTTTAGAGGGGTACATACAAAAAATGAATAATTGAAACTAAGTTTTTATATTTAGTGTAATTTAATGTTAAGGAGGTTCGATTTGGGGAAGCTTGTCAGTGTATTATTATTTATTTGTACACAATCGACAGCAGTGACGTAAGGCGACGAGTGGAGCGCCTACAAACAACCTCATTAGTGGGAGGTGCGTGGTGGGAGGTGGATGATGACTTTAGATGGATGGTGGTGTTGGTGCTTCTTGTCAAACGGATTTCAGTTTCCGGCATGGACTTTTGGTGCTCATGATTTTACATACCAATTTCCTTGGGCAGTTTCTCATTTTGCTGGAACCACAGGAGCAGCTCCTTGAGATCCTGTTCCCGTCGCAGGTCTTCCCTCGTTGCACTCGCCTCCGTCTTCTCGACACCGGTGGCGCTCATTGATGCGTCTGGCTATCGATTTATTTACCTTGCTCTTCCACCACAGTCTATCAGCTATCGGACGAGGATATCGCTTTCAAAAAACTTCCCCAAAATAAATTATTTTCGAATCGCTTTCCAACCGTAGGGCACGAAGCCTAGCAGACGACTGACTGCAAGTCTCGCATCGATTTCGCTCATCGATTTGGTTTCTAAATATTCAGTCCTATGGTGTCTGCGATTAAAAACACGTAATGCCATAATTGCTTTTTGTGCCGACGTTTGGCCAAAGCTTAATAGTGCCTAAATTTGTTCCGTCGCAGCTTCTGAATCTGCCTAATCACCTGGTCGTGTGCCGCATCCAAATTCCATATCCGCCTAATGACTCAAATGTCGTTTTATTTGACTAAAAATTAATGCTCTTTTTTTACCTAAAAGAAAAGGACTATTTTCTATATCTAATAATAAGCACTAACAAAAATCAATAGATTACCGACAATATATGAGATTATGTCCCTGTGTCCATTTTCCCATAGTGATAATTTATTTACAAGAAGAATTACTCGACAGAAGCTTTGCTCAATGCCAAAAAAATGTTTGCAAATTTAAATAAAAAGGTAGCTAGGTATCCATAACCAAATTCCTATTGCCTCCCAAAAACCTCGTTAAACACAAATTCAAAATATTGGTATATAAAGTGTGTATATTGGTCATGTTGCTGCTAATAAATCGACAATAGCCCCATATTTGATTGTAGAAAAATAGGTACACTTATTGTAATTGGTAAGAATGTAATAAAATATGCAAAAATAGATATTCCTATACAAAGGGCAGCTTCATTCTCTCGAAACCCCAATCTGAGCTTCCTTTTGGCAAGACGCGCTCAATAATCACATTTAAATATATATCACGTTCGCAGGATATGTGGGAACGTTATTGGAATATCAAAACCAGGACCAGCGGCTCTTGCTTTGGGAGGCCACTTTCCAGTAACGTTCATCACTCAAATAGGCACTTAAAAAATGGAGGGTCGAGGTTATATGTATTACATATATGTCTTGAACTTACGTTTTGTCCTTGAGGGATTGAACACCCCTTGCTTTGAGTTCTGCAATAGTTCCAGCCTTTCCGCCATATTCCTTGGGCAACATGTCCTTGGGCACTTCCTCATAAAGGCTCTCCAAGCCCTCCGTGTGGTATTTGATCTGCAAATGAGTTGGAGTGTGAGGTGTAAACAAGAAAAGGTACATATTTATATTTAAAATTACCATATTCCGAACTTCTTCTCTTAAAAAGGGGGACATCATGGAGATAAGTCTATCCAGAAAAGAAGGACAATTGATGACATGCATGGCCTGCAGACGTGAAGGATAAGCCTCTTGCAGGAACTTCATATAGATTCGAAGCACAAAAATGGAGACATAAGCCAGGTGCCGTATGGTATAACCCTCAATGTCTACGATCTGCACATCACCCTGTGCAATATCCGATTCATCTAGCACGTAATCCTCTCCTTTGCCATTTTCTCGCTCCGCATCCGGCATTGTAAATCGAGCATCGCTCATCATAAAGAAGATTTTGGTCTCTTCGACGGAATTGCGCTGTGAGGGATCATTGGAAAAAGGGTTTCTTTTTTAAAGTAACCAAGACTTACCGTATGGGGATCCATGTCAGCCAAACGGAACAAGAGCAGCTTGTTTCCCTTTGGCGTAACACCGGGCAAAATCAGCAGATCCCTAAGAAGGAGAAATATTACCTATATGTCCCTCTATTATAACTCTCCTTTTTTACTTACGACACTTTTAAGCCCTTGGCGGTCATCTCGTCCTCCATGTTGCGATCAATGAATAGATGTGGGTGTTTATTTCGCATACTGTAGTTGAGCTCCACCAGTGATTTGGTACGTTTTACATCGAAGGCCATGCACTTCAGGAATCGGAGCATTACTATGGGTTCTATAGGGAAGTTGCATATAAAACGAAAATGAAACTTATATTCCAAGGATCTACAAAAAAAAAGGTGGGAGCACTCAAAAACAAAGATTGTTAATTGTACTCCAGCAAACGAGTCGGCGTCTAGGTGTTTCTATAGAGGTACTCCCTGCTCTTGACCTTTGGCACTGCTCAGAGTTACAAGGTTAATGGATCGTTAACCATATCAGGTTATTGCGCGCCCATTAATTCCGTCTCGCACTTGGCTGATTTTCAATCGAAGCGCAACCGATTTGGCGTCGATTCTCCAGATTAACTTACCGATCTTCTCCGGCAGGTTGGGATTGCCCTCAAACCAGGCAATCAGCTCAGCCAGCTTGTCGCTCCATTTATTAGCCGGAGGGGATGTAGATTTGGAGGCGGCCTCTTCTTGATCCCCTTTTTGTATATCGTTCTCCATCGGGGTAAACGAACGCGTCTTTCTGGGCCCGCAAAAACCCACTAACTAAGCAAGTAGCTTAGCTAAGTACCCCAATTGATAAAGCTAACAAGCCCGCACACATACAATGTAAACATTGTTTCGACGCTATCTTTAGCTTTTCACGCTCCGATCGGCTATAGAAAAAGCTTCGCTATTAAGCTCGCCAAACACCCACGAACGAATCCAAATGTTTGCAATTAAGCAACGTTCCAGGGAGGCTCGCCATGAAACCACTGGCTCCCCAGAGAGACAGGACGCCCGGGGAAGGGTAGCGTCACAGGAGTTCTTGGCATCTGGTGGATATGGAGTACAGCTACAACAGAATGACACACAATGAGTCTACCCACTTGATCGCCGCCCACCAGGATGAAGTCCACATCCTCGCCAGATCCAGGATATCCCCTATTATCCAGTTATTGTTCATTTCTAAAAAGCGCTCCTAACTTCGACACAATGAATAGTCTGACCAGATCGCGGAACTATCAAAGTTCTCTAACGCGGGTTAGGAAATCCCGGATTTTTTAGAATTTCGAATTAAGAACTACGTTAATAAAAAAATATTTATTTTGTTTAAAATATTATATTCGTATGTCCTTGCAAATATTGATGTTATTAATGTCTAAACTACAAATCCATCCATAAGTTTAAAATAGAGTTTATATTGTTATCTTTTTGAATGACCAAATAAAAACGCCTCCTAGCGAGGTAAAACATTCGTGACGAACGCAACTCAACGCATTCGACCAATTAAACAAACTTTTTAAAATTTGCTTGAATGTTTTTATTGTTCGAATGTGCAATATATTTTCAATATAATTTTGATATTAGCACCTTTTGCGTTAAGAATGCAATCGTCTCGACATTTTTACTCTTTAACCTCGTTAGGAGCTGTTTTTGTTTGATATTGTATATGGCTTGCTCATAATACTTTGCCCGTCGTATGAAATCGCCAACGGTCACAAAATGGTTATTCTCAAAATTCTCAAAATGTTAACATTGTGTTTTTATAGACCTTAGACCTTAGGATTTCACCTTTTTATAATAACAGTTTGCAGCTGGCAATACTGATTGGGATAGGTGTGCATACCTCTAGACAGGTGAACGTTGAGGGTCTTGAAACCTACATAACGCACAAAACATCGATTAAACACAATTACATAACATACACTTGTTCTGGACCGGATGGGTTTGGGTTGGGAATTGCGAATTGGAGTTCGAATTTAATATAGGACCTACTTTAGGAAACACTCGTACACATTGATGGCACAAAAACCATTTTCTGGGCAGCATATGGACTAAGGCCCTGTTGGCAAATACATACATATTTGTGTAGATACATCAATTGATATCGTATCATCTCAGATCGGATATATATATAACGTTCTACATGCTACATGCTTATTGTGGCTCATAAAGCTCTTCCCCCGCACTGTCTCTGTCTCTTTCGCTTACGTTCTCTCTATTTAATAGATAGGTTATAGACATGGAACAACATTACTGGCACTGGCAAATGCTACAAATTGAGAATGCACATATATCGAAGGGGCTATTCTTAATCTCTAAGCTCGCGGGGCAGTAGTTTTGAGTAGGCAAACCATTTGAATTTCGAAGCTTATTGATGCCAATAAGAAAGAATTAATGCATAAGCGCCCATCAATTTATACACCAGCAGAAACAACTATAAACAAAATGAGAACACCACAAAACGGAATAGTGTGCCATCTAAAAATTAACTTGAAACTTAGCTGAAATTAAAGATACAGCTATTCTTTCACAGAATTCCTATCCTTAGCCCCCAACTGCTGCCCGCAGAGCTTTGAAATACTGAAGTGTAACTTGCGTCGCTTGACTTGGGTCTCTCGTTCAATATTGACGGGCTGCGATTGGATTAGATCTGGGCCCGGATCCGGATCCGGATCCGGAGTCGAGTCCATTTCCTTAACCAGAACATGTCACATGGTGTGCGTCCGGGCCACGACATCCCGTCGAATCCGTCGGGACTAGCTGAAGATGCTGCGTCATAAACTGACGAGCGTGGCCTTCCGCTGGGCCTCCAGTCGGATTTCTAATGTGGCATATGGCGGCACACTGATTACCAGGAGCACCACCAAGGCAATAATCTTCAGCGATTCGCAGAGGAAGCCGTGTCCGGCGAACGTTAGTCCCAATCCCAGGAATCGAAGGGCCTGCAGCGGAGCCTGGACCTCCGTGACATGGCCGGCATGGTTGAGGGTGACTAGTGACAGCAGGAGAGTCTCCCACATCCCATTGCAGGCGCCCCACGAGGCGGCGATTACGTAGAAGAGGGCACTATCATCACTTGAGGGCTTCCAACTGGACAGCGCCAACAGCAGACAGGAGTGAAAGAAAAAACCAGCCACTGAAAAATAGAAAAAATAATGAGATTTATTATTTTTCACATTTTTTATGTTTTGAAGATGAAACAATGAATGTATATATGATACTTACATATTACGACGATCCTTTTGACGTGCCTCAAAAGCATACTTAAAGTGCAAGAAACGATGAGCTGCATCAAGCCCATGCCAATAAGAGCTCCGGCAATCATTCCAATGCCTAAGGAGCAGGTGACGAATGCTCTTAGGAAGTCACCTAACATATAGGCTTGTTCTGTGCCCACGAAATACGCCAAGGGACCGGCAAAGAGCAGGGTATCCGTGATGCTCACATCCCTCAGACGCTCCGGTCGCGATGGGCCCGTCGTTTGGACCTTATCCACCATCATAATCAGCGAAAGGATCAAGGATATAAGCGAGAATAATATATAAACTGAGAGCAGCGATTGCCCAGCCACCCGGGGCTCACTTTCGATGAAGCCGGCGTAAATGGAACTGGGTATGGAGCTGCCGTTGGCCCAACCCACGGCCAGCAGGGATTGTACCCTTAAAGGGCACATGTCTGCCCCACAGATCCTGTCGCCATGTTCGTTTCGGTTGTAGAAATCCCTCAACTGTGGTGGCCAGCTCTCGTTTCCGTAGTAAACCAGTCCAGAGCAATCTCCCGTGAAATCTCCATCGCTGCAAGCTAGCAAAAAGGATGCTAGAAGGGCTCCTCCGATGAGTCCCAGATCCTGCGAAACACGGAACCACCTAGCCAAACGTCGCACCTTCTGATCGCGGTTGCAAAACATCTTATGTTCTTCGTGCAGGACATCTACCGCCGCTTGAGATTGTTGTGATTCGCAGGAGCAACTTAGTTTCCCTCCGAAATGAACAATCAATGCCGCTTTGGAGCAAGCAGATCCGCTCAGGGTCACGCCTAACAGCAAATAGGCGGGCAGAAGGGTGTAAATGGAGGCGTACAGATGCGACAGGAGGAATAGAACCACTGCCACAGAGTTGGCCGCCAAGAGGGAGCCATAACCATATCGTTTCATGACCCGGATGCTGGGCAGGCTCATCCCGGCAGCCACCAGAAAAAGAGCACTCAGCAGCAGGGATCCAAACTCCGGTCCGAGGCGCAACCACTGCTCCCGATGGTGCCACACTGCATTGGATCCCTGGAGCGCCATCACCGGCAGCAGGACGCAGTTCATCAATCCGTGGGCCAAGCTCAGGCAGCTGAACTGTCGCCACACCTTCTGACGCACTTGGGCGGATACCTTGTGCCTGCAGTTCCGGTTGTTCAGCGTTATTAATCTCCGAATGGATGTGGCCCCGATGGAGCTGTTTATAGACTCCCGACGACGCGAGGCAGCCAGGGCAGCCTGCACTTGGTACGAGGATACCGGATTTATTCGATGCGAACGGGTCGAAATAGGCGACGGCGAGTAAGTTGTCAAGTGCTGCTGGAAAGTATAGGAAAAAAGATGGAAGTTAATATAAATACAAAGGATAAATAAGGGTTTCTTTTGTGGTAAATCAGTATTAAAACGATCAGATTGAAGTTTCACAATTGAAAAGTCGACCAGCGCACAAAAGCACTTAATGGCAACCATGAATTAACAGGAACTCAAGGACTAAAGGAAAAAAGCATTGCAACCGACAACCTTGGGTTTCAATTACAGTTGAGTGGGAAGAATGGAGCTAAGGATGAAAATGGAAATGCCAGCCAGGTTCGACTTAATTACTTGTTGTGCAAGTCGGAAAGATAATCCGTTTACAAACTCTGACATCTGCCCATCCACCCATCAGGAACCGCCGACCACCTTTTTTGTCGACAATAAGCCGCAAGATGGTCAAGTGTCCAAGGCAAAGCCAGCTCAACCTCAATGTCCATTACCTCGTTGCTGCACTCTGACTATTAATAAGTGACAAGTGCCCTTGGCAACCACCACACAACAAAAAAGGAATAACAATGTCAATTTTAAGGTATCATTTTGTATCACTTTGGCCCAGCCGAAAGATTTGGATAAAATCTGATTTATAAAGAATGAAAATCAGGGATCTGATCGAAAAATCTATTGCACCTGTGAATACTAGTTAATGTCGTACGGCTTTAATCACTTACCTCCATCATCTGCTCGTCCCAGACATTCTGGGCTCCTCCAGAGCTTCTTGTGCGGAGTACTCGGTGTCTGGTGGTCAGGGAATGACGATGTTGGTGGTGCTGATGTTGGTGATGCTGATGGTGGTGCGAGTGTGGAGCATACTTTTTGCTCATTCCCAGCATCGCAAAGCCACTGGTAGCCACCGGTGCAACCGAATTGGTGGCCAAAACAGTTTCTGTGCCCAGTGTCTGGACATTCTGCGATTTTCCAGCATTCGTTCCATTGCCACTTGGCAATTCTCCATTTCCGGTGGCTGCTCCTCCGGTGGCAGTCAGGCTCAAGGATCCTCCGCCAATCCCCAGACCAGCCATTATATAGGCATTATACGAGGATTGCTGTGGGTTCAAAATAATGAAATGTATCATAAAAGTTTAAATTGCACGCCCAAAAATTCAAGTAGATAAACAAAGAACCAGTAACCCAATGAACCCAATAAGCGTGAATTAACCAAAAATTAAATGATTATAATATAATGATTGAATTAGTTAAATAACTTACTTTACGCTGCCGAGCAAAAGCGGAGAGACGCTCCCGCTCACGACTTGTGTCCCGGGCGCGCTGCTCCAGCAAAAGTTCGTATTCCCGTCGTTTCTCCCGCTTGCGCTCCGCCTCCTCCAGTTCATGAAGATTCGGCAGACTGCCCATTTCCGCCGATTATTGCCAACTTATCGAATCTTATCGTCGAGGAGTTATGTGGATTTTAGAGCTGCTGCGACTCCATAACTGGCATCGTTCCAAAATGGCGTACTCATCATGCTGCGCTCCCGGTCGCTTTGCTCCTCCACTGGCATTCCAGACCAGACCAGTCAAATTATTGTCCTTTCAGTATGGCCGGGTTCATTGTCTGCCGACGACATGCCACTCCTCTCCAGCTGCCGTATATACGTATGTCAGCAATACAAATATAGTTTCGGATGCAGTGGAATGCCTGTTAAATAGAAAAGAGACAGGAAATAAAAAAGTCTTGGGGTTTCAAATGGTATCGCCACCTATCGGTTTGTTATCAAGTTGTCACCTGCACCTGGGAACTGTCACCCGCACAGGCACCCACGTAATTCTAGCTTAACATAGCACACACACTCGCACACGTCCAAAGAGCGTACATGCATTGCATACTTATGTGGGCCATGCGACCCACCGTTATTCACGACATACTGTCCTACATATGTACATGTGTGGGTACATGCAGTCATGAAAAACAAAAATTAATTTTGTGTAAAAAATTATTTTTAATATTTAGTAGGGATACCAAAACGGAACAGCAATTTAAAGACCTTAATCAGAAGTAGTCAAAAAAGTCCAAACATTATTTGAAACAAGTTCCGCAAATCAAACATCACCAACAAATTTCATTTGGTAATGGTCAACTCTCCTAGCAGTCAATGCGCTTATGCGAATTAAACTGCGCTGCTATTACTGCGGGCGTGGGTGTAGCTCTCATGGTATTAGGAATTTTGCACACACGCACACTAGCACAAAATCATCAGGTGTGTCCATTTTGAGTTATCTACACATGTGCAGGCGTCCCCAGGGTCAGGTATTCCATATTCCGGGGTATATATACCCGGGCCAGGACGAGATCGAAGGGTCCTTGGTGGTAACAAGGCCTGAAGACAATGGCCTACAATTTTGCAGCTCATAATCAACTCATAAACAGACTTGCCCTGAGCACCCCACACCCACAAATCTAAAAAAAAGAGCTCCAATTGAGGCGCAGTTTTGGGCCCACGCCCCTAAGGGGTTGCAAAAAACTGAAGTGGAAGAGATAACAAATGCAAAAAGGCCAGATGAGAAGCGTATATGAATATTTTAAAAATCAAACAAAGATAGGCACAAAAACCAGCCACATCTGAAGCAGCACACACACTCTGCCCTCTTGAAAACATTTTTATGTATGTACATTGTTTGACAAAATGAAAACACCATTAATTACTTTAAAGTTTTACGGATAACTTGTATATGCACTTCTTACGGGTCAAGAATGGTTTTTAAACCTCTAAACAATCCAGCACTTTTAGCCACTCAACACTGAACAAGAACACCGCCGCACGCAAGCTGCTCCAGAAACACACTGAAAAGCTGGCAGGGATTACGGGTCTGGAGATTCTGAGTCCGATGCTGAAATTGTTGTCATCTCGGACCTTCTGCAGCATCTCGCATGCCTGACATGCGCACTGACATCTGAAAAGCCCAGCCAATTCGAGGAGGGGTGGCTGCACCGCCACAAAAAACAATATAATGCGATATTATATCCTAGGGAAACCAAACCCTATGCGATGCATTTTAAGTGGATATTAAAAGGAATGTTTTCAATTTGATTATTTTGGTTAAATAACATTTTTTAAAATTACAGTATCTATTAAGTTAAAATATTACGATTTCTTTACAAAATATCTTAAGGAGATCCTATCGACATGTTATATTTAAGGAATCTATCTTGCACCTTTTTTATGCATTCTCAAAAAGTTATTTATTTTGATTTATTCGTTTAAATTAATAAAAGGTAGTTTAACGTGAGATATATCATTTGGCTTGGTTTTAGTTTGTTTAGAGATAAACATCAACAAAACTATGTAATATTGTTCATCATGAAATATATGGCCAAACAATACGAATTATTCAAATTTCTCCCTGTGCTGAGGATAACAAATACTGACCCAAAAATTGAGCTGCTATTGGTTTGATTTATTTAAAAACTAACTGCAAATTGGCTAACAACAAACACGTGCATGGCATGGCGATAATTGGTTAAATGGTACATCTGAATACAGATCAGATTAAACAGAATTATAGTTAAAGCTAACAGATATCGAAATGCGATTGGTGGACTATCAAGAGTCCTTTGTCATATCGGGCTAGTTAAACTGTGTCTTTGGGGTGTACAATATAGAGTATATGTATAGAAAACTGTTTTCCGTTTCCAAATCCGTTTGAAATTTGTTTCTTATTTCTTTTTGTGGCCGTTAAAGACAATTAACAGTCTTTTTGTCAAAGTTATTTTTTTTAGTTCAGAACACTAAATTAAGATGGGTAATACTACTTTGTTATTAAGTAATACAATTTGAAAGTTTTAAAAAACACTTGCCACAATTTGAAACGGATGGAAAACAGAAACAAGTAACGAGCGTAAGTTTTCCTATTGGGGTAGATTGATTTGAGCTTCTTCTCAACGTTATTCAGGTCCCGCTGTCTAATCGGTCGGATAACCAAAGCTCAGGTGGAGATTGCACCAGCGCCGGTGCTTGCCGCCTAGGGAGGATTCCTCGCGCCGAACGGCATTCAAAAACGGATGCTTCTCAAAGTCGAAGTTGTTCAAATACAAGCGCAGATCTTCAGCCACCATGGGCAATGGATGTCCGCTGGTCAAACCCATCTGCAGGCGAACGCACTGCTCAACGATAAACTTCAGGGCTGCCCGGCGATGCAGTTCAAAGCAATCCCGTTGTCCGTACATCAACCGCTGTTCCGCGCACAACCGGATATCGTTGGCGGCCACATTGCAGCAGTAAAGAAATGATTTGAACTTTTGGTTGCTTATGGAACACCGGTCTACATGAGGCACCAGCAGCTCTAGCAAATCCTCTGCCTTGGCTTCGCATTTCAATCCATAATTGGTCATTAATTGCTGCAGACTGGCCAACGACGCAGAGCCACTGGCGCTGGAATCGTTAGGTAGGGCAAAGTTGAGTTCAAAGGCGCGATTTAAAAGCACCTGGCGATAATGATAGCAGCTGTAGTCGCTGATGTGCTTGCGCATAAACTTCTCTGTGCGTAGGAGCTCCGATTGCAGCAGACAGGGGCCGCTCTGCAGGATCCATTGGCGATGCGACCAGGCGTGGTAGTTACTAGCGCATCTATCGGCGGCTCTTTCGCAAATCCCGATTTCATTGGGCCAGTCGATGGCATCCGCACCTGACAAAAAAAGGAAGGATAAGAGTGCTAATTTCCTAAAACAATTATTTATAATCACTTTGGAAGGAGTACAGCCAGCGGCGGTAGGCAAATGCCTCATTCGACTTCGGTTTAATAGAGAGCACGAGGGCTGAGAACTGAAGCTCCTTGTTAATGCTCAGCCGATTCTTTTGCACCAACTGGCGGCGAATGTGCCAGAAAGTAGTCACATCCGGATTGATTAAAAGGGCCACATTCAGGTACTTCGCCAGAGAATCACTCTGTTGCTGTTGCTGGAGCGTTCGCAGCTGTTGGGCCGAAGTCTGGCGACGATGGGAGATAAGGGTGCGGTGGGCATGGTCGTAGACATGCTGGGCACACCACGATTCAAGACCGAGATTGTGCTCCACATGCACCACCGGCGACTTGTTGCAGTTGGTCTCCTTGGGTATGATCTCGAAGGAAGCGCTAAAGCAGTAAGATATTTTCAGATTATATATATTAGTTTAAGTCAATCGTTTTCTGACTTCATCTTAGAACTTAAAAATTTTTGGGAGCCTATGATTAATGGATTCCATGACCTCTAATAAATCAGCAGGGGACACAATCCAAAGCTTTGAATATATCTATCAATGGTTTAATACACTTACAGATCTTGATCCTTGAGGAACACCGCATTAATGTCCCTGATGATCTTCTCGCAAAGGACCTTCTTCTCGTTGCGTTCCTCCTCCATGGAATTTAATATTTTGACCAGGGTAATTTCGATGTGGATGTTTATTCTGCGCGGAACTCGCTTCCCTTCCGTTCGATTCGAAGTTCCTAGGCACATTGATTGCCTCCAATTAATCTTAACATGCTCAATGCCTCCGGTTAATTAAGGTTTCGGGAGCAGGAGGATGGATGGTGGAGACAACTGGAGACCCTGGCTATGGCTTTATGGAACCCCCAGTAACGGCCGCATCACAACAAATAAATTTCAATTAAAGTCGGGGCTCGAGATCTATTATTTTAGTGCCCAGCGCTAGGGGCTGTCACTCTGGCTTGTTCCCCGAATAGCACGGTTCTCCCGCGGGTCGTAAACCTGTAAATGTTTTCTTTTCTTTTTTAAGGACTGCGAGCATATGTTGTTGCTAGTTTGTTTCTATTATTTTTGTTTTTGCAAACATGTGTTTTGCTGTGCACACGCACCGATAACAATACCGCACGCACGTACCCCGGTTATCGATAGGTAGCCGGCAATAGTGTAACCTTCGCCAAGCGAAGAAATCTAGGAAAATGGGGTAAATTCAATTGCAGATTGTATTAAACGTCAATATATTTTTTTAATAAGCGTCAGGAATACAATTTGCTTTCAATTGATGTTTCTAATTCCATTGATAAATAATCACGTTGTGATTACCAATCACCCACTGGTTGCGCCTGGTTACACTAATTCATTTCAGTTTTGTTCAGCAGTTTATTGGTGGAACACGTGCGCGCGAAAAAGGTCATCACTAGAAGAGGATAACAAAACAAATAGCCAGGATGCAGAGCACCTTCTTTCCACTAAACACACGGCGGTTTAAGCAGCAGGCGCAGGAGGCAACTCCAGACACGGTTTACTGGGACAAATTGGCGGTAAGTGATCAACCAGATTAACAAGTTATCTACAAAATGAAAAGATTTCACAAAATCGTTTCAGAAACCGGAACTTTTGAAGGAGCACAACACTATTGACTATGTTGACATCAGCCCCAGTGATCCAGACAACTTTGTGCTGACATGTTCGGTGCGAGTACAAATATACAGTTTGGTGACCAAGCTCGTGGTAAAAAATCTGTCGCGATTTCAAAAGACCGCCTATGGAGCCACCTTCCGGCAGGATGGACGACTTCTAGCCGCCGGCGACGAGGAGGGCCACGTCAAGCTGTTCGATACCACCAGCCGGAACATCCTACGCCTGTATAAGGGACACACGGCACCAGTGCATCGCACATTCTTTACCTCGGACAAGCTACAATTGGCCAGTTTCAGTGATGACAAGACGGTCCGCCTGTGGGATGTGGCCAATGAGAAGGTGGTCCAGACCTACGGGGACTCGCACACGGATTACATTCGTGCCGGGGCCATGCATCCGCAGACGTCGCACATGTTCATCTCCGGCGGTTACGATGGCAAGATCAACCTTTACGATACGAGAGCAGAGACGGCGGTGCAGCGTACAGTGGATCATGGTGCACCGGTTGAGTCCCTGTTGTTCCTGCCTTCAGGCTCTATCTTCATTAGTGCTGGTGGCAGCCAAGTACGCGTTTGGGATATGATAAGCGGTTGTCGGTTGCTCACCATGATGTCGCAACATCACAAGACGGTAACCTGCCTACGGCTTGGATCCGATGGTAAAAGGCTTTTCTCGGGCGGATTGGATCGGCATGTCAAAATCTACGATGTGAGCACCTACAAGACTGTTCACACTTTGACCTATCCCAATGCCGTAGTCAGCTTGGCAGTGGCTAGTAAAGATCAGGCTGTTGTGGCTGGAATGGTCGACGGTTTGGTCTCCATTCGCCGCATGCTTGTCGATAATAAGCCCAGTAATCTGAAGAAGATACGTGCGGAACGGTCTCGCAAGGTTTATAAGGAAATGATAAAGCCTAACAACACCCAGGACGTGGATCACATTATCAAAGAGCGAGTCAAGGGTACGGGACTAAAAACCTTCGATGTGCATCTGCGTAGTTTTAACCACAAGAAAGCATTGGATGATGTGATGGTGCCGCAAAAAATGGAAAAACAGCCGGAACTGGTAGTGGCAGTCATTACGGATCTGCTGCATCGAAGATCTCTGGACAAAGCTCTTACCGATCGACCCGATAAAGTGCTCATTAAGTTTATTAACTTTGTGTGCCTGCACTTGGGTGAGATAAAATTTATGCGTCCTCTAATGATGGCCGCCAGCACCGTGTTAGATGTCTTCGAGAGGCAGTTGGTGGTCTACAGTCACCAGTTGATGGAGGCCCTAGAGCGTCTATCTGCCGCTTTTCAGACGGAGATAAAGTTAACCGCCGAACTGAGTCGTCTAAAGGGCGCCATGGACATGCTTATTGGCGTTTCAATGGAAAATGGCGAGGTAGCCCAAAAGCCAACCTATGCGGTGGTCAAGCCTGCCAAAATGCAGCCTTCTTCGGCGGCGAAAAAGTACGTTGTTTCAGTCGATTGACCCGGACCTCCACCGCTATTCAATTTGGGCAGTCCGTTTGCTAGATTAGGAATATCACTTTCTCAGAAAAAATGAGACGAAGTTAGATTGTTAAAATTTAAACGCATTATTTTAATTGTATTAAATATAAGCACATAAGAGTTCGTGTAACTGGCTAACAACCTAGAATTTTCTAGAATTTATTGAATAAAAAAATCAAATCAAATCACAATGCTTGTGGCATTATTATAATAAACTGCATTCTTAGTTTGGTTTCGATTTTGGGGTCGATTTTTTTCACTTTTTTATGAACCAAACACTGTTTTGTGCACCTGATGACCAAAAGTAACGAGTCCAATCACTTTTTGGAGGCAATAATACATAGCCAATACATAGCCCAACAAGCTATATATATTGAATATTTTAATTGCTTTTACATGGCCACGTGATTACTTAATTTTAAAAATTTTACTCACCTTATTGGGTTTGGAGGCGGTGCATCCTATAGGCCACTAAAAGCAGGAAGTGATCAGCAGCACCTGCAACTGAAATGAGTTAAAATCATATTAAAATTTATTAATTTTAAAAATCCATACCAAGTCAGGGGACGATGCACTGCATCCTAGAGTGGAGTCCAGTAAAAGGAACCACTTCACAAACACACACACACTTCCAAAAACCGGAAACAGTTTCTAAGAGAAACATTTAGCATGTTATTTGCAAAAATAGAAAAAATGAAACCAATAGGATCACAAAATCAAACAGTTTTCCAATAAACAATTCTTGAAAATTTTCTGTTGATTTCAGACAGGCGTATTTCGATTCAGATCGTGATGCTGATCAAGATATATATATATACTTCATGGGGTCTAAAATGTCTCCTTCACTGCATTGCAAACTTCTGACTGAAATTATAATACCCTCTGCAAGGGTATAAAAAAGGGATCAAAAGTCAAAATAAACAATTTTTTTTTGCATGTATATATCTTCTTTATTAAATACATACTTAAAATGAACATTTCGTCGTGCTTGCCAATTTTCGTTTTGAAATATACACTGAAATTTTTTCTGCCGTTGTACGAATAAAAAAAAACATGATAATATGGACAGCAAAACAGTTGCCCTCGAATTAACTTGTTGTTTTTTTTACTTTCATGCATATTACAAATGCAAATATTTTGCGTTCCTCATCTTCTCGATTTCGCTTTATATTTTAGCTCTTCTTCATTAATTATTTTTTTTTTGTAGATTTAGATTTAGGTTTACTTTATTTTACGATTATTTGGAAAGACGAATTTACACTTAGAATTTGCTCATCTTCGACACATCGTTCTGTATTTTCTGCTTAAGCTAAACTTTCGCGCTAATTTTAATATATATCTTTACCTTTATATTTATGTATATTTATATTTATATGTATGTATAGGTATATATATCTATTACGATCGACAACACATCGACACTTTTGCCAACTTGCCGTTTTTTTTGTTTGTAAAGAGAAAAATATAAGATACCACGGATTCGTTAAGTTAAAATAAGAATACAGTTAGGCGTTATAACTAGTTTACATTTTAGGCGTGTGTGTTTGGAGTGTGTGCAGGGGTTGCGGGTGGTGTTCGTTTGAAAGGTTTTCAAGCCACTACATTTACATTTCTAAATTACAAATTATACTCATATACATAACAGATATTGCCTTCACATTTTACACTCTTCGGCTGTGTATTTCTCTGCTAACTCTGCTTCATTCTAATCAGCTCCAGTTTTCTAGACACTGTACAAGATACACTATTTTAGGTCAGGGGGATTTGGTTAAAAGACTACACACTACACAAAGACGAGTGTGGCATATACATACATATGAATTAACTTGCAACAGAACATTAACAGCGACTACAAAGGTGTGCTTGTTTTTTTGTTTTTCAAGTGTAATTAAACATCAACGATGTGGGCCTTTTTCTTGGGGTTCGGCAGCTCCGTCCAAATTGTTCCTGACCAGATCAGATATCATATCAAACTGAATGTTAGAGTGGGATGTGTGCTTGGCGGTTGAGGATAAGGTAATTCCGACGGACCGTAGGCGCTTGGATGGGTTTGTGTTGGTTGTGGCATGAGCTATTCTAAAAAAGATGTGCATCTGGGGACTGTTCTGAATTAGCCATCCTCTTTGGGCGGTGTGAACCAGCCTGTGAAAAGGTTGTCAATAAAATGAATGCTCTTTTTAATTTATATTACTGCTAAAATTACCATTCTTTTCGTGAATCTGCACCAGCGACTTGAAACTCTGCTGGGCTCGTGCCAAACTATATTGGCCCTGGGTCAGTGCCTGTTTGTACAAAATGGTTATACAAGAGATTTAAGGAATGAGATTACAAAGCTTTTTGAAACAATTGCTTTACCTTAGTGGCCCCAAACTGAATTCGCGCTTTTCCCTTGACGAGGGTAGCTGCAATTTGCATGATTACCGCCTCCACGGTGTAGGCAGAGCTCCAGCCCTGTTTGGTCAGCAATTCCATGCAGATGGCACCGCCGATGAGCACATACCCGCCTAATCAATAGAAGATAAAAATCAAATAAGTTAAGTTATAAGACTTACTGATACTGAATTGCATTCATACCTGAGATAATCGGATGAACAACGCGCACAAATGGCGGTTCGAAGGGATACGTCTCCTTGAAAAGAATATTTAGTAGTATGCTGTCCTTGCCCTCCTTTTCCTTGAGCATTAACAGATCACTGTGCAGCGGACTGTCCGGATCGACAGACTTGAGGCGTATGTTCCACTCGTAAATCGATTCGTTTACGAGTTCAATTGAATACATATTCTTCTTGAAGGCGTCCGATCGATAAATATCACGTAATTCTTTCATTAATCGATCGGTTGCCTGCACGGAACCCGAAACGGAACCCTAAAATCAAGGTAATCATTTAGAATAAATGACACATTTTTAATTAAACCCCCTTTTAACTCACTTTTAGATAGTCTTGTCTTTGACTTTGACGCAGTCTTTCTAGAGTTGCTAGATGTTCCACTTCCATGTCGTCCTTCTGCATTTCAGAAAAATTTATAAGTCATATTAGCTTACACATATGTTAATATTTATACTGATACCAGGCACTGTATAATCCCGATATTTTCTTACCTTGTTTGTACTTCGTACATCATCCATTTCCAGCGGCAAGTCCTCGTCGCCCTCGCTCTCCTGCTCGCTCTCTGCGATGGGATCTTCGATCTCCTCTTGATCCGAGTCGGTCTCCTCGTTGCCGTGAGGGCCCCCACCGCCACCCGCTCCACCGCCTCCTGATCTCTGCTCACAGCGAAGTGGAGAAGCAGATGGCGGCGGCGTTTGCAGCGGCAGGGCCAAATTATCGATGTCGGGTGGCAGTGGAACGTTGTGAAGTCGGCATAGCTCACGCAGCAGTATGCCCACCTGTAAAATATCAGTTTTATAATTTCAACCAGTTTTAAAGTTTTAAACGTTAAGGAGTCTCACTTGATTAATCACGTGATTATCACGTCCATTTGTATTGCTAAGTATTTGAACTGCATTTGTGACGCTCGTCTCCTCACTTTCGGCAAACCAAACTGGTGGCGACGATGGATACGTTTCCTGAAGAAAAAACAACAACAAATTTATTAAAATATCTGGTTTAGAGTGAAAAAAAAAACCCTTGACAACCACATACTTATTTTAAGTCGGCCATTAAAAACATTCTAGCTAACAAAATTTTCTTTTTATCTCTCCTTTTGCCTCTTACGCGATGTCAATAAAATTAAGCTGATAAGGCCTGACTTGCCTACAGAAAAAGTTATAAATAGGCATTTGGGAAAAATATCAACTGATAATTTTTGAATAGTTTTTTTTTTTTTAAATCGGTTTTTGATGATTAGCTCTGCCTTCAAACTTATTTTATACTATATCTGTGTTTTTAGCCAAAGGGGGTGGACCTAGCAAATCGCGTGTGTGGGGTGGGTCAAGGACTTAGGCTTTGCACTTGGCAGTTGGAATCAGACAAAAGATCTCTCTCATTTTCATTCTCGTTGTTTGTCGTGTGTTGTTGTTGTTCTCAGGTGAATTTTGTCGACGTAGTCGTTAAGGCTACTTTGCATGCATATGTAAATAAACAAATAATGAACGATACAGAACTGAATTCGACAGCAAGTACGAAATTATAACCTTTAATTAGATCGTTGAACCAAGCCGGGGATCAGTGGACAGAAAACAGACAGAGCCGATGATCGGGTGCAATGAATCACACCATAAAAAGGGTAACATTTTGCATTTCAAAGTAAAGGAATGATTGGGCCACCCACATAGGCAATGTTGCCGAAACATAAATATTATCAAGGCCTTCGACTATGTACATATGTATGAATATCCTGGCGGCCTTAGCAAATATTATCATATTTGGCCCCAACAAAAGGAAGAGCACTAAGAGAACGAACCTAAGAGAACGGCCAAAGGGCATCGACTACTAAATATGTATATATTATAAACTTATATATATATTATATGTATATATCATCTCATCTGAGCACCGTGGGAATAAAGAAGCGGCACAGAATATACACATATTTACACGCATAAGCGTTGAAAAGAGAAGGAGAGAACCGATAAAGTAAAACTCAAGAAAGGAGTAGAATCAGAAACAAGACAAGGATAGCACTATTTCGAGGAAGAAAGAAGAATTGAAAGGGGATAAAATTGCTGAAGGGCAGCAAAATAATGAAGATGCTACAAAGATTATCTCATAATTTAACTAATCTTTGAGTCAGATTTAAATCTATTTTTCCCCCAAAAATCGATGTTTATTGTCTAAAGATTGCTTAGGATGCAAAGTGAAAACTGCAGTTACTGAAAGGCATTAAAGCATTAACCTCAGGCTTTAACAGGCGGATCACTTGCTTTACTTGCAGTCTATATATAAAAAGTCATACAATCGCCATATACATAAGTGGAATGGAGTGGAGTGGGTAATAAAAAATGCCGGGTCTAAACTGTAGAGGTTTCCCACCCAGCTCCAAATGATTTAAAAACAGTATGAGAGCACTACTCGTACACCTCAACCACTATCTATAGTCGATAACGATAGATGGAGTGAATGTCTGGACACAAGACTGATACACACAAAAAAAAAAACCTGATTAGTGTTTTAAAAAACATACGTTGCAATAAAACTTAATTTTGTTGAGAAATTTTATTTAAAATTATTCTCATGGAGAAGAGATGGTTAATTTTCTACTTCTTTTAATATGCGTAAATGAGACAATTTGTAAGAACTAAAGAAAAACTTACCGTTATGTTGGCATGGATATCGTAGCGCTTTCCATTCTTATCGATAAATCGGCAGAGCAGTTCATCGACACTGCAATTAAGGATCTGAAAGCGCTCGTGATTCTTTGGGAAGATCTTCTCCAAAGTCTTGATTTCCTGCTTCAGGGTGTTAAGGCACGCCATCTTGTGGCGAGCGCAAGAGACAAATGGTCTAGGTTCTTTTTTTTGTGTCGTTTACTTGGCTAATATGATTATATTTCCTGGTCCGATCGGAAGATTTTTGTGTTATTTGTGGGAGTTTTAGGGAGCTAGCGCCCCCGCCGTTAAATCCCTCTTTCTAACTTCCAGGCAAATAAAGCTTATTTTTTTCCTTTGCGTGCTTGCCACTCTCCTTTACGGTCTCCGTCTGTCAGCTGCTGTTTTCCGTTGCCCACGGTAGATGGCGTTTCTCCAGCAGCTCGTTGTCCCGTTTCACTCTTTTTTGGGTTTACTATTAGTTTTTTATTATAAACATTAAGTTATTGTGCTTTTTAGAATTCCTTTTTCTTTTTCTTATGTTTGGAGGTAGATTAAAAAGACAACAGATTTCTAGTCGCCTAATTGTTCTTTGTTGTTTTTGCTGGGTCTCTTCTCGCTCTCCTCTTTTCACTTCACTTCCAGTAAACTTCACTCTCACTGCTTCTTCTACTCCTGCGGCGCCCAGCATGCGCTCTCTTTTTCTTCCTATCTCGCTCGCACTCTGTGGGTTTTTGTGTTCAGTTTTGCACTTTGATTTTCCCGACTTATTACCGTGTTCTTATGCTTTTCTATTTCAGTTCAGTTTTTTTGTGTTGGTTTGTTAGAATTCAAAAACTTAAAACTGTAAATATGACTTTTAAACACGTGTTTCACTTGGCTTGCTGTTAGATGTTCTATTATTGTTGTTGTTTTTGTTTTGGCTAGCCAGAAACCGCAATTGGCTTACACACACACAACTCACTCGCAACAGACAAAACCTGACACGCACACTTGTGCAAATAGCTATCCCTCCCTCTCGCACAGCAGGTCTTCTTCTTGCCCACGCAACGATCAAAAATAATCGAAAAAAAAAACCGATTGGAAATCGGCGAAAAAAACAAATTTTGCATATATCTCTTGGCCCCTCTTTTCTTCCTCCTCTTAACATTGTCGTTCTCTTTGCTCGTTTCTGCTGCGTTTGTTATTTTCGTTTGCTCACACAAACTTGAGTTTAAAAAAGAAAAATGAAGACAGACGAAGAAAATCCATGACAAAGAGGATAGTGTCGAATGTGGGCGCAATTGGGAATCGTGAATTGAAAACTGAGTCAATCATTTTGCCGAGGCTCCACTGTGCACAGCTGCATAACTGTTTTCCCTCTGCCCACTGCTTTTGCTCTCCTCCTTTTCTCTTTCTCGTTCTCCCCTTTTGCCCCACTCTTTCGTCTGACTTTTCATCATTGCATACACACGCACACACACACGAAGTCTGCAACTTGAGTTTTAATCATTTATCAATATTTAAGCGAAAACAGCGACAAAAGCAAAAACTAACTGTGCATGGAGCTCCAGAACAAATCCTTTGTTTGCACGGAGCACAAAGCACTAAAAGAAACACAGACAAACGGAAAAACGGCCACAAAAAAAAACACCAACTTCTCGCACACACACATGTACACTTGCGGAAATCTGCATGTAATTGTCAGCAAGCCCGTAGCACAGAAATTTGTTCATTAAAAAGACAGGAATACAAAAAAAAAAAAACAACAAAATAATGCACGCACACTGCAACGAAAATTGTGACACGGAAAATTAAAGTCAGATCCACGCACGTCCGCCCGCTTTACCTTTTTTAACCTTTTTTTTACCAACAACAAACTGTGCAATGTTACCAGCTGGCTTTTCCCCTAAGTGCTTCTGAACAAACGTTAATTCCCTAAAAAATCCTGATGTAGCACAACCAAACCATTTTCTTACGCCACACATAGCGAATGTTCGAACCCAGTGTATACTTAGCAGAGAAACGATTCTTTCTTTATTATTAAATGTTCGCCAAATGCTGAAAATAAAATAGTTGTAGTAAAAAGTCCAAACCGATTATAATACAGTACAAACTTTATTCGCCTCTTTAGATCTTTAAGATTTCAATTTATTACGATCTTTACTCTTCACTCCCCACCCAATTCGTTTCGCTACTTTCGCTACAATAGATCGATAGATATAGTGGTTACATAGAGGAGGATCGTGTGAGTACTTCTTCAAGTCTTGTATTTCCTATGCGGAATGGTATGGAAATGGAAAATGGTTTTCACATTTAGTTTAGTTACGGTTTACATTACTTTGTGTGTGGTTTTTGTGTTTGCTTTTCTTTTGTTTAGATTAGAAGTAGCATAATTTAACCCCGACTTTAGCTAAAAAAAACATAGAAATTAAGACGCCCCGTTTCGTAACCAATTGCCGTCTTTTTCCCCCCGTTATTCCCCGGATTTGAATCTTTTTCAAATCCTTAGACAGGCACTTGGCTTCCTGCTGCTCCGGATGCTTCTGGTTATGCTAATCGCGGTTCCTTAGAGCTCACTGTGCGGTGTCTTGGCTTCCGTTTCCTCCGTGGGCGTTGGAGTGATCTCCTCCACAGGCTCCTGCTGTTCCTCCTTTTCGGGTTGCTCCTGCTGCTCTTCGGCTTGCTCTTCCGTTTTGGTGCCATCGCCACTGCCCGAACTAACTACCTCCTCCGCCTCCTTCTTCTTTTCAGCAGCTGGCTTCACCTTGGGCTTCCAGATCTTGATCTTGTTAACCAAATACTTGACCTCACGATCCAACAGGCTCATTTTGTCCGTAATATCCTTAACGGTCAGTCGGATATCAGCGTTCTTTGCCAGTTTTTTCTGGGCTGCACTCTCTGTTTTTAGCCAGGCATTTGTTTCGGTAATCACCTTGGCCAACGTATCGATTTCCACCTGGGTGAAAACATCCTTTTCGGGATTGGTGTCTTTGGTAAGATTGCGACCAGTGACCAGGAACTTCTCGGCGCCATCGATCATACCCTTGAGCGCTTTAATAGCCTCTGGCCGCTCCTCGTGCTCCCAGTGACGGGCCAAAAAGACATTGGACAGCTTCTTTAGCTGCGCCAGCTTCTCCTCGTAGATCTCTGCCTTGGGGTCCTCGAGATCCTCGTACAGCCATTCGCCCAAAGCGCTGCATTCGGCAAGGAGTTTCTCCTTCTCCTCAGCAGTGGCACACTTGGCGAACGATTCCTCATCCAATTTCTGCTGCACTTCGATGATGTGCGCTTCGAGGGCATTAAAGGCGGATTCCAGTCGGACACGTTGCTCCTCTGCTTTGTTGATGGATGCCAATTTGGCAACGGAGTTATCATAAGCGGAACCGGCTAACGGAATGGTAAACTGCGTTTGCGATTCATAGGTCACGGGAGATTTAACCGTGACAAGCTTAATGGTGTCGTTTTTGGCCTCAGCCTCTTGTTTGTTGGCTTCCTCAGACTTTTGCTCCTTGCTGTTGGCTTCCTCCTCCTTAAGCTTATCGCTCTCCTCAGTTTTGCTTGGTTCTTCAGCACCATTGGCCGACTCTTCGCCCTGCTCTGAATCCTCCTTCTTGTCCTCACCCTCCTTGGTAAACAACTTGCTCAAAGTACTTCCCAATTTGGACAAAGTGCTGTCATCATCTGCATCTTCCTCGGGCTTTTGCTTATCGTACACGTACTCCACGCCCGTGCAGCGGAAAATACCGGAGTCATCCAGATAGAAGTAGGCCTTTATGCCCTTATTGTCCACCAGTTCCTTCTTCGATTTCTCAAGCAGTTCTTTCACCTGTTTCAGCTGCACCTTGGTCACATTCAAGCTGCCCAGGGCAGCAATCTCCTCCTTGCTATAACGATCCAACTCAGCATAGTTCACATAGAACTCAAAGTCATCGGTGTGCTTGTTAAAGGTGATCACCTTCTTCTGGGGATAAGGATTCATAAGGGCGAACAGGACACGTTTCACCTGCTTCACAGCAGCTCCCTCGCCAGGATCGCGCTCAAATGACACTTGCAAGGGGAATAGAGTGGCATCCTTGACCACAAACTTCTTCACTTTAAAGCCAGCGGATAGATCAGCTGCCTTGTAAACCGCTCCCATGGTGGCGGACTCATCGGCATTCAGATTCTTACCAAGTTCCTGTTTGATGAGAGCCTTAATGGTCTCCTGTACGCGGGGAACTCGGGTGCCGCCGCCAAACAGTATCACCTGGTTTATCACATCTAAACTGAGATGCGAGGAGGCCAAAGCTTGTTCCAATGGTTTAGTGGCTCTGGGCCACAGATCCTCGCATATCTCTTCCAGTTTCTCACGCGAAACGGCCAACTTAAAGTCAATATCTTCCAGAAGGTTCTCGATTTGGGCATAGTGTTCCGTATTGGCCGACAGGACGTTCTTCAGGCGACCCGCTTCCTTGAACAGTTTGGCGAGAGCTCGGGGACTGGTGGTCACATCCGTTTTAGTCTTCTTCAAGGCATTAAACTCGGCGGCCAAATAATCGCGCAGTCTCAACTGTATCTCCAGGCCACCCAGAGTGCGATCATAGCCAACGCCAAGGACCTGCACGACAGGATTGATCTCCCGCGTCTGTTTATCCTTCACCAATTGATAGCTAACCACAGCAGCTGAGGTTTTATAGGCTCCCATGTCGTAGAAGAGGAAATACTGCGCAGTCTCATTGATCTCGGCGCGATGGAATACACCATAGTTAAGGGCCACCGCCGCATAGTCGTTGATCAGTTGAAGCACCTTAAGATTGGCCAACTGGGCGGCCGACAACAGGGCTTCCCTCTCCGCTTGGCCAAAATAACCTGGTACGGTTAAAACGCACTCGGTGATGGCCTGCTGTGTGGATTCCTGGGCGAACTGCTTGGCCTTGACCAACATTTGAGCCACAAGTTCTTCCACAGAAAACTCCTCGGTGTCGCTTTTGCGGAATATCACAGTGTTGCGTTCAGGATCGCCCACAATGTTGTAGTAGGGAAAACGTTTCCTAAGGGAGATTCGATTCAAGCGATAAGATTTTAAATCCCAACAATGACGTGGCCCAAAGTAAACCCACACTTACCTATACAAATCAACAATGGGATTATCTATGGTCTTGCCCAGCAAATCCAGAAGATATCCATATGCCGCATTGGGTTCCTTGATTCCAATCGTCTGGGCATCCTCGCCGATGGTTCGAGTTCCGTCGCGGAATGCCAGAATCGCAGGGGTTTTGCGCTTGGACTCACGATTTAGGGCGATTTCCATGGGTACTCCGGGCGAAACGACGCCCACTTTCATCCACTCAGTGCCCAAATCCACGGACATCACTGCGGCCCCCTGGGAAAGGGCAATCCCCGCCAGCAGGGTGCTCAAAACGAGCAGGAGTTTCATTGTCTGTGTCGGTTAAAATAAATAAACTAATGACATAGTTATAAGAAAATGTATGTTTTATGCAGATATGAAGTAAAAAGTACACATGTATTGTGGTCCAATTGGATTAAAAAAAGAAGATTCTCTGGGTTTTTTGCCTGAATTTATTCTATCCATACGAAATTATTGCACTCGGTTAATACAACATTGAATAAATTTATTCGATTTCAATTAGTCTTATAAAATTTTGCTAGCTTTAATTGATTTATCTTCGGTTTTTACCAGATTTGATAGATTTTTTACGAATCTAAATTTTTTTTGTTGCCTACCAAGTAGTGCTCATGTGGCAGCTGAAATTATAATTTATACATTGCCCTAATAATGTAAAGGCTAATTAAAGAGTTGGGTATACCTTTTGTGGGGTTTTATAATTGGGAAATTGGAAAAAAGAGCAATAACCTTTTGTTACTTCCACATTTCTTCCGCTATTCTTTTTCGTTCACTTCTTTTTTTTTTGCAACGCAAGCAGCTGTCTGTGTCCCTGCCCCCTTCCCTAAGCCCATCCTTCCACCTTTCCAGCGAAGTACCGCTTTCCACTTACGTGTCCCGTTTTGTTCGTCGCTTTTAGAAGTCCTTCGCGACTTTCCAATTGCCAATCGACTTTAATTCAGCAAAACAAATAATTTTTAATTATTCAGTTCACAATGTCGAGTGATATTTGATTCGCGAAGAATAAAAAACACAGTCGAGTCGGCGCGATGAAGAAGAGGAAGCAGCGGCAGCGTTGACGTGTTGATTCTTCTCATGACAATCGATAGCAGTGTTGGCAAAAGCAGTGCTGCCAAATTCGTGCAGATAGGGCGCCAGAGTTTCGATTTAAAATATCGTCGTGAAGATACAGTTTGAGAGCTTTTGAGTCGTTAAACAATTTTGAATAAAATAAATCAGAATGAAAGTTTTTGATTCAGAAAATACATTTCAGATGCTAACCAAAATTGATTTTGTTTTCTTTTATTATGTATGCACAATAACACATTTCAATTTAAAACTAGGTTTTTTTTTAATAAAAAAAGGTTAAGTAATAGTCAAAAACATTATGTATCAAATTCCCGAGGGAACTAAAAAATTGAAGGGTACATTTTGACCTTAATTTACCTAAACAAAATAGATAAGACCGGAACAGGTAGTTAACTCTTTGCAGTTCTCAAATTATTACATATGTACTTTTCGATTATATTAAAAGCAGCAATTCAACCCACATATTGACAGCTCAGCATTCCATCGATGACCGACTTTAAAAGCGAAAGTGCTGATACATAGTTTTATTACTTTGCAATTATTACTGTCCCTAGAAAGTAATAGGATTATTGAATAAAATATTGTACATATTTTAAATGTGTTACAGCTGGAGAAAAAAGAGTAAATATATAATACCTTACCATTTAGTTATGTTTTAAAATTAAAAAATTTAAATGATGTTCATGGCTTTAATATAATGTCCATGAAATTAACAAAAAGAGTATTAAAACCGTTATTATAAGTTTTTCATAAACAACGCCGACTCGACTATTCACAATAAAAAGAAAAGTGAGTGGAAAACGATCGAATCAAGCGAATTTAAATAGAACCGTTCCAAATGCAGAATAGCGCGAGGCAGAAGCACCGAGAATCCAAACCACCAAATTGCACTTGCGCAATATTCTGTTCGAACTCGAAAATTTCGCTGATCTGTGTTTTCTTCCGAGTCTAGACCATATAAAAACCGCAAAGTTCTTTAAACCGCTAGTCAAAATTGAGTGAGCAATGTGTGGACGACGACTGCTGATCATTGTGGCCATAAGTTGCCTTTTGGCCTCCACGGTTTCGCTTCCGGCCACCGAAAACGAGGAGTTCGACATAGGTTTTCCGCAATCGGAGTTCGACTACGATGAGCGACATACTCGCGAAATTCCCGCCCAGGCTTATGCTGCTCCCGTAGTTTATAATTCGCAATCAAGCTATTCGGCGCCGAAGGAGCAGGGATACTCCGCTCCTGCTGCTCCAGAGTATTCAGCGCCTGCAGCTCCCTCTTATTCAGCACCTGCATCACCAAGCTATTCCGCACATGCTGCCCCATCGTATTCAGCTCCTGCGGCTCCAGCTCAATCCTATTCGGCACCTGCATCATCCAGCTATTCAGCACCTGCAGCTCCATCGTACTCAGCTCCTGCTGCTCCATCTTATTCAGCACCTGCATCATCCAGTTATTCAGCACCAGCAGCTCCATCGTACTCAGCTCCCGCTTCGTCATATTCTGCGCCTGCTGCACCGTCTTACTCTGCACCAAAGGCTCCGTCATACTCGGCTCCTGCTGGCCCATCGTATTCAGCACCTGCAGCTCCAGCTCCATCCTATTCGGCACCTGCATCATCCAGCTATTCAGCACCTGCGGCTCCATCGTACTCGGCTCCCGCTTCGTCATATTCGGCACCTGCGGCTCCATCATATTCAGCTCCTGCTGCTCCATCTTATTCAGCTCCTGCATCCCCATCCTATTCGGCACCTGCATCATCATCATACTCAGCTTCTTCTGCCCCAAGCTATTCGCCAGCTAAGAGTTCATCTTATTCAGCTCCAGCTGCTCCATCTTATTCGGCACCTGCAGCGCCATCTTATTCAGCACCTGCAGCTCCATCTTATTCCGCTCCAGCTGCTCCATCATATTCAGCCCCTGCAGCTCCATCATATTCAGCACCTGCAGCTCCATCTTATTCAGCACCTGCGGCGCAAGCTTATTCAGCACCTGCAGCTCCTTCTTATTCAGCCCCAGCTGCTCCATCTTATTCAGCCCCTGCAGCTCCATCATATTCAGCCCCTGCAGCTCCATCTTATTCAGCCCCTGCAGCTCCATCTTATTCAGCCCCTGCAGCTCCATCTTATTCAGCTCCTGCAGCTCCATCATATTCGGCCCCTGCAGCTCCATCATATTCAGCACCTGCGGCTCCATCTTATTCAGCTCCAGCTGCTCCATCTTATTCAGCCCCTGCAGCTCCATCTTATTCAGCACCTGCAGCTCCATCTTATTCAGCTCCTGCAGCTCCATCTTATTCCGCTCCAGCTGCTCCATCTTATTCAGCACCTGCAGCTCCTTCTTATTCAGCACCTGCAGCTCCATCTTATTCAGCCCCTGCAGCTCCATCTTATTCAGCTCCAGCTGCTCCATCTTATTCCGCTCCAGCTGCTCCATCTTATTCCGCTCCAGCTGCTCCATCATATTCAGCTCCTGCTGCTCCATCTTATTCGGCACCTGCTGCGCCATCTTATTCAGCACCTGCAGCTCCATCATATTCAGCGCCTGCCGCTCCTTCATACTCAGCACCCGCATCATCTGGATACTCAGCTGCGCGGGCCTATTCAGCGGATTCGGCTGCACCAGCCTCCTCTGGATATTCAGCACCAAAGGCATCATCTGGATACTCAGCGTCAAAGTCTTCTGCGTCCTCCGGATATTCGGCATCCAAGACTTCTGGTGGAGCGCCCGCCGCTCCTTCATATTCAGCACCTGCTGCTCCATCTTATTCAGCACCTGCCGCTTCTTCATATTCAGCGCCTGCTGCGAAATCATCTGCATACGCTCGCTACGAGGTGGATCAGATGCTTGGCATGGCAAGGACAGCTGGTGGCTACGGATCTGCAGCCGCGGCGCCAGCTTACGGCGGAGCATCGATTCCCTCACCACCGTGCCCCAAGAACTATGTGTTTAGCTGTTCGAGCGTTTTTACTCCAGCTCCTTGCAGCCAGAGCTACGGATACTAAGGGGATCCTAAATCATGTGACAACGGGCCTTTTCGACTTGAACGCAAAGTTAATAAAATTTAAAAATGAAATGATTACAGAATTTTTATTTCCTTATAGGAGTATATAGTATATTGTTTTAATTTTAAGCCTGATATAAAAAAGAAACATTCCCCAAAAATGAGTTTGTGAAAATTAAGCCAAATCCATCACCTCTAAGCCCATAACATTTTCAATTTTAATCCGATTTTGAAGTTACTAAAAATTAATCATTAAATTCTCGATTTTTCCAATTTTCCGAAAAATGGGTTTAACTTTTTTATAAGATTACCGCTTTCGAAGTAAAATACCTCTAAATTCAACAAGTAAAAAGAGATTTGAATGCTTTTCTTAGAATTTATTTGCAAATTGTTCTCTTATGTCCTTCGCTAATAAATTATCACACTAAAAGCAACTCATAATAAATACGTACATCTAGGCTCTGTATATTTAGTTCATATGTCATTTGTCATTCAATACAATGTTACTTTTCTCACATTGTGAGTGTTATTTCTCTGTTGCGGTCTATATATTCCATTAAAAAGCACTTATGTATCCTTAACTCATCTACATGTATGTATATACTAAATATATATATCGTTATGAACGTAAATCATTTGGAACATTCAAATTAAAATCGAAAGTGGAGAGCAGTTTCTTCCAACTTTGTAACTACAATTCATTCAAGTTATAATAATTAAGTATATATGTATGTGCTAGAGAGACTGGTCCATAGATTAAGAGGTATTTATCAGTTCGCAAATCATAAATGACCCATTTTATTTTATTTTCTGTTCCCTCGTTTCTTGTTTTGACTTATTGAGATCTTCTTCGAAATTGTTCAATTCATTAGTTTCATGCATTTGACCAATTCTTTGATTCATTTTAAATTAACTGATTAATTGACAACGAAATTTGATCATTCTAGGTTTGTTAACATTTTCAATTATATCGCACTACACCCTTTAATTTACTTTTTGCATACCCAAAAGACTTTCCAAATAAATAAAATAAACAAACAAAATAAAATTGCAAAAAACATAATTATTTTTTTATAGAATCTAAGGAAGTATTTGCACGCAGTGCATTAAACTATCCCAAAAAAAAGAGGTATGATAATGATTAAAATCCATTGGACTGGAAGCCACAAATCTTTTAGCCAAGGCCAAAACAAAGAGTCGTTGAACGAGCGCGGCATTGGGCAAAAAACCCAGAGCCCAAAGCCCAAAAAAAGCGAAAACGATTCCGAAAGCTAAAGCCAAAGACCCAAGACCCATCTGAAACCCGGAGAGCTTCGGTCCAAAAAAAAAAACATTTGGCATTCAAAACGATAATACAGAAAATAAAGGCACGCGGAATGCAGTCAACGGAACAATTTGGAGTGTGTTGATCGTTGATCGCTTTGCTTTCAATATATTTGACCCCCAAAAATGTATAAACAAAACAAAAGCCAGTGGCCTAACCCTGTGCTAGGTCAACCACAGACAAATTTTCAGCGCTCTAACCTATGACGATGATCTCACAGTCACGCAGCAGCTACGCTATTTGCCAGTTGCTTTATACAGATACAGAATAACCATCAAAATAAATCAAGACCCATTGCACAGTCTCGATAGGAACAAGTTTAAAGGTAGTTTTAATTGCAAATCAAAATCAAACTATGGAGCAAAATCACACAAGCCAAATGTTAAGTACAGGCAACTGAAAAGCGAACCTTTAATATACTTCACTCCACCTTCATTGGTTTCAAAGTGAAAATAAGAATATAAAAATCAACCATAAAATCAAGAAACGAAATAAAAACATAACTTTTTCAAATTTTTTTTGCATAATTTATTTTGCTTTTGTTGCATAGCGTTGAATGCTAAATAGTTTGTCTGCGACACGATCAATAAGGAATCGGGCAGACCACCATATATATAATGTATTTATTGGTTTAACTATAGTGTATATGTAGGAATATTAACTAAAATGGAAATACATATGGATAATGTTTACTAAATGTGTACGTACATAGGCTAAGTAATTCTTCTAGTTAAAAACGCACAATAATTACATAATCATATCAAAATAATCATATAAAAAACTTAGACAATAAAAAAAATGTGTGTTAATGGGGGGCACAACAGTAATAGGGTGATCGATGAGGAAGGACCTGCTCTCTAGATTCTTTGAGTCTTTAGTCTTTGACTTTCCCGCCCTTTCTATATCCCGTCTATAAAAACGTATAAATCTTAACCATCTAAAATCTTCACCGTTGAGGGAACAGATTGGTTTTGTGGTCTGGTTTCTTTTGGGCCAAAAGACGCGAACGAAAACAAAAGCGAGAAACGTGAAACGAAAACGAAAGCTTAGACGAGGCGAGGCAACCTATAGAAACTGCAAAAAAAAAAGTTATATCTGTACACATATATATTTATATATATGTATATAGGTATATTTATATATATATGTATATATATAAAATCAATGAAAGCCGAGCGAGCGAAAGTCAAGAGATTCTCTCTTTCGCTTCTCTCTCACTGAAAGAAAGTAAAGCTCGCGCTTTTCTTCTACACAATTAGTTTTGTTTTGTTTTTACTAATACTAAATGTTAATTTTACACATAGATCATAATATTCATGATTTTATGCTTTGTATTTTTGTAGTACTTTTTGTTTTGCTTTTTAATGGTAACTTTTTGTGGTTTCTGTTTAGCCAAAAAACTTAAAATTCTATCACAGCCGTTATTTTTTTCGAAGAAAAAATTGTTTTTGTTTTTTTTTTGTGGTTTATGTTTGTTTTCCTTAAATTGTTTGTTATATTACTACTAATTATTACTTTCATAATTTGTTAATTTGCCCGATTTGCGTTTAAATCTTTTTGAATGCACTTTTGTTGGTTTTTTTTTTTTTTTGTTTTTGAGGCTTGCTTTCAATATTTTAAAAAATTCTAATTGCACTTTTTTGTATAATATTTTTGTTGTTTTGTTTTTCTTTAAATTGCTATTTAATTTGCTTTCATGTCTCAGTTTTCTTGTCAGAACATTGTCTTCATTTTGTGTGCTTGTGCCAAGGCAAAAAAAGAAATGGAAACAAATCAACGTTATAAACAAAATTTTGTTGGAATTTATATGAAATGAAACCTTGGTTTAATTTTCTTTTGGATAAAATTGCGTTCTCTTTCGTTTGTTACTTTTGACTAGGAGAACTTCCAGGGGGTTCTTTAAAAGTATATACATAAAATCCCTAAAATGCAATATATTTTTTCATATTTTGCGGATGAGATATTTTCAATTGGATGGTGTAGAGAAATAAACAAAAATTCAGTAGGAACAAAATTTGGGGACTCATTGGTATAGCAATTTGGAATGTGCTTGGTTCATATAATTTTGATTTGAATCGGAAGTTAATCCCAATCCTTTCATATTATGGAGTTCTCTACGAAACCGAAATGGAAACCACAACTGAATTTTTGTTGATTTGTTACAAGTATGGAGTTGGTTTTTAGTTTTTTTTTTGTTTTTACTTTTTAATTTAACTTATAGATTGTTCTGGTTTTTGCTTGTTTTTGCTGTTTTGACTACAAATTCTTTGATTTTTGTTTTGTTTTTTTTTCCTTTCCTTTTACCTACCACTATTTTTTTTGTGTATTTTTGTTTGTACAAATCGCGACTGCCATTAATGAGTAATACTGGCCAATCCGTTCGATTTTCTCTATCATTTCTATAAACTATAAGCTTAGGTTAGTACGTGTGTGTGTGTGTGTGTGTGAGTGTGTGTGGTGTGTCATAGCCTAAATGTTTCTTTAAAGAACCTTAAGCAAGTGTCTAATGTTAAATCTAAACGCGGTAATCTTTGTCTGCTGCTCGGGGATTCACTGGTACTTTCATGTCTCCAGCGATGTGACCACCAGATTGTGGAAAACGCTCGCCGATTCGCTCATCATCGCCGCCTGTCCACACGAATCGCTGCTAGCGCCGCTCGGCGGCGTCGGCGTTCCCAGCCTCAAGGCGTCCATGATCACCTCGAAGTCCTTTTGGTTCTGATTCATATCGAAGTCCACTAGCTCCAGGTGGTGGTGCAAGTGATGATGGTGCCCAAGATGATGGAGGTCGTTGTTCAGTTTCATCCGTTTGCCGCCGCCGCCGACGACGACGCCGCCGCTGCCGGAATTATCGAGGCCGGCGCCAGCGCCTGCTGCTCCACCGATTCCCGCGATGCCAGCGATCCCGCCCACATTCACATTGACGTTCACATTCATTCCCATTCCCAGGCCGACCACATCCAAGGGACACTCCTCGATGGCCGAGATCAGGCGCTGCGGCGGTATATAAAACTGGGAGAGGGCCTCGCGCACCAACCGGTCGCTCTCGTCCTCGCTGCTGCTGTTGCTCCGCAATCTCTTCCTGCTGGCGGACAGGGCCGCCTTCTCCAGCTGCTCGGCACCCTGGGTAATCTCCGGATCGATCAGCAGCATGGGGGCGTTGATGGCGCTCAGTTCGCGATCGAGTATCTCCAGATCGTTGACCAAATTGCTGCTGGACAGGTGGCGTTTCCGACTGTTGTTCACCCGCTCCGATGCCGAACCGGAAACGGAAAGCGGCGCCGAATTGGCCGCCTCGGGGGCGGAGGCACCGGCGGGCGTGGCCAACTGTTGACGTTCCGGCGGCTGATTCTCCAGGGAGCCAATGCCGCCACCACCACGGCCGCCATTCGAGGACGATCCGGAGCCGATCGAGGAGCCAAAGGCATCGCCGTAGGACGACTTGCCGCCATTATTGCTCACAGGTTTGGCGTCGTCCATGTTCGGCTGGAAGAGATTCTCACGCGCCAGTTCGGTGGCAGAGCCGCTGCTGTCGCTGGTTCTGCAAAAAAGAGAGAGAAAGTGGAAGGGAAAGTTAGTCAACGGTCGATGATGGCAAAGCAGCAGATGAATGTAGAGTGTAGGGAATACAATTCAGGCGAGCGCGAAGCCGCACTTAATTGTTTCAATTGAGAAAGAGCATAAGAGCATAAGAGTTATATATGCTAGGTTCAAATCCATGGGTTTCTGGTACTGTATACCAATCCAGATATTAGCAAGCTGTAACTAACACATCATAAAGCCAAATCCCTGCCTGCTTTTATCCCCACCCAACCACCGACATCGTCGACCGGCAGAGAGCTGTGTGTCAAATCAGTTAACGGTGTAATCTTGCCATAAACATTTCAACGCCCATCGATAATGTACATATATAGCCAGCCGACCCAGTCCCTCCTCCACCTCCCCCTCCCCCATTCCAAAACTTAACTCAACCCTGACATCAGAGCGTTGGTTTCCTCCAGGGGTGGTGGGTTTACGGCTTTCGGTTTACGGGAGGATTTCTGGCAGGAAAGTGGATAGTCGGTGGATAGGGGGGGGTACGCTTTTAATTAACTGGGCCAACAACTGTGGCACTGGGGCCCCTTTTGGCTTTTCTCGGTGACCAGCAGTGAAGTAAATTTCAGTTAATTTCTCTTTCAATAAAACTCACTGTGTTTGGGGGCGCCGCCACCTCCCATTTCTTGTTGCTTCTCTCTCCGCCAGCCAAGCCAATATGGCCAACCATTTGAAGAAGTAAAAAGTGGAAAAGGTGGAGGAAAACACAAAATAATAATGTTCGAATAAGGTGGAAAAAAGTGTCACTCTACAGGTGAAAAAATCCCAAAGCATAATATAAATTTGATTCTGTTTATTGGTATTTTTAAATCCTTTTTACAGAAACCTTTTAAAATAAATTTAAGATTTATATGTGCCAATGCTTCTCATTTCAGCTTTGTACAACTCGAAGGGTATTCTGTTTCTGAAACTGATTTAATGACCTAATTAATAACCCTTTTTGCGAGAATTCATTACCGTGTACAAACGCTCTATGTACGAACGTATAAATCTTATAAATATGTATGGAAGAAGGGCTGGTGGGTGGGTGGTTGGCTTTACGGCAGGCGCAACGCATTAAAATGCGCAGCTGAGCATGTCAATGTTGACTATTAAAAGCGACGCAACAAAAGCAATATAACTGACAACAAGAATGGCAAAAGCAGCAATACCAAGGGACCAAACAAAAAAAAAAACAAGAAAAAAATAAATAAAATACAAGATTGGGCGGACTTTGCGGGGGGATAAAAAAAAAGCGAAAGTATGGAGGAATCTGTACAAAAACAAAACGAAATCCAAGCGAAGAAGCAACAAAAAATCGCTCAACTTATAGAAACCAAAAAACCAGAAAGCGTACAACAAAGCGGGGAGAAGGAGGGAAGGGGAAGGGGGAGGGGTGGCACCAGAGGGGTTTGGGGCAAAAAGTGTGTTAGTTTCGTTGTTGTTGCTGTTGTTGCTTTTAATGCACGCGCAACCGTTAACTTGAAATGATGGACGGCCAAAACAAAATGGGAGCAGCAAAGCAAAAGCAGCCAAGAGAGTAGTAGTTTGCTGGCCAAATGAGGTGCCAAAAGGCAACGGCGGAGAAGATGGCCAACGACGAAGAGAGGAGCGGTAGATTGCACAAGTGGCCCACAAAACGGAGACAAACCCAGAGTTAGAAAGGGCCAAGAGGCGACTTAAATAGGGTTCAAATCAGGTAACTGGATTGATTGAGAAAAACAGATTTGAATAGCCAGAAACTAGGAAAAATAAATACTCCCTATAACGGTAAAGCGTTACCAATTTATCTGAGTTTTCCCTGTTACCAACCAGCGAACTTGCCGATTGTAAGATAATTTGTTTTGACCACGTCAGTTCCGGTTTTATTGCAAAATCTGATAAGATTTTAAAGTTGGTTGCATTTTCAAGGCAAAGTGTACTACTAATTGGTAAAGAAAAGGTCTTACTTTGAACTTATATTTCAATTTTCAGTGATCTTTCCAGTAGATGATTCAAATCTGAATCAAAACTCTGACTAAAGACAAACTTGAATGACCAAGGTAATACTCAAATGTCTTAAAAATAACCTTATGAATGAGGAGTCCTGCATTAATCAGTGGGATGTGGACAATTTTAATAATAAACGGGATTAATCATCGTAATGAGCGCTGATCGGCGCTTGTGACGTCATAAGTGGTGCGTAGTACTAACATTTAGTTACCGAAAAATAAGAATAAATCAGCACTTAATCACATTGAGCCATGTGTTTTCTCTGCACATCCATATATTATTATATATAGTAATATATATATATAAATTCGTGTGGCATGCGACTGATAACTGGTCAGCAAAAAAAAAAGAAAAAGACAAACTGGGGGTTTGTCACTTGTAGTTTTCTTTTCTTTGTCCTTCGTCTCGCGCTGTCTTATCTGTCTTTTCGTTTTGCGCACGTTTTCGATGTTTTTTTTTTTTGGGTTTTTTTTGTTGTTTTTGTGTTAACCACCCCCCAAAAAGTTCACCCATCCATTGCTACGTTAAATATACGGCGACTTCCTCGCTGAATTCAAGCTGAAATTGGGGCACACTTATTACGCGTTAATCTCTTGCCTCTTTTCCCCCGGAAAAGCAAACTTGGTCAACCTTTGGTTTTGTTTGCTCACCACCCCCTCCCCCACCCCCGCACACACTCCACTTGTTTTTGGGGGGTTTCCAGTTCAAGGCTCTTTAACCAATGTTTGTATTTGTATTTGTATTTGTGTTATTACCGTCGAATATTGTTTAACTGCGAAACAATTAAGTGGAGCCATGGGGTTTTACAGACTTACATTCGCATCGTTTTATGCACTTCCTAATCATTTAAGCCAGACTTCACTATATCTCGGTTAAAGTTGTTTACTTTGGTAAAATTATAAAATATATATAAGAAACTCGTAGGTTTCCAAAGACTTTTAGTTCTCCAAACTCCAAATCGAAGTAATTCATCGAATTCTTTCTGCGATTTTCCCAGGGTTGACCTGTATTTCATTTTTGATTAATCGAATTGAAATTTGGTCTCAAAGGAGAGGGGAAGGAGGGGGAAAAGGATTCTCCCTACTGCACTTGACAAGAGGGAGAAAAATGAAGAAGGGAAAGCGAGGAAAAAGCGATGAAAAAGAGCGAAAGCGGCAAAGAAAGACGAAAACGTTGTCAAACGACAAGTGCACACAAAGGCAAAAAAAAAAAGGAGGGAAAAAAATGAAAAAAAAAGGGGAGCAACAGCAGGGGGCAGCGGGTGGTTGGAGCGGAAAAGTCGGGGGCGCAAAAGGGGGCGGGGCGGGGGAAATGAGGCGCCAAGTCGCGAATGTAGGACGCTGTTGGGGGTCATTGAGCGCGCTTTTGACTTGGTCCGTGTATGCGAAGGAAGGGCGGAGGAAGAGGTGGAAGAGGATAGCGAGTGGGGCCAAAAAGGGAGGGAAACAGGGAGGGCGAGGTGCCTCTGAAGAGGGGGCGTGGCAAAACCACATGGGGCGATGGCAGTTTGTGTCAAAGACAACTTTATTTTGCAGTCTCCCTTTCAAAAATACAAACATAAAATTACAAATGATTTCGAAATCAGGTAAGCAAGTGGCTTAAATCTACCAATAGGCAAAAAAAAATGGTATGGGTATGGGAAAAACCAAGAAGAAATAAATAAATAAGGTAGGTTGGTGAAGGACTCTCCTTAAAAAAAAAAAAAAAAACTATATAAAAACCAAGCCTATCAAAATCATAAATACTATCGCAAATCGAACAAATACAGGCTACATACATAAGTACTTTCATGCACTAAAGAAAAGACGGGTTAAAAACGGAATAACTCAGCTAACTCGACTTCGGTTCGGTTCGTTACGCTTCGTTAACGTCTGTAAATTCAATTACAACAACAGCAAAAGCAAGAGCAACAGAAAAAGACCAGAAACCTTGGCACCTGAATTGAATATATCCCCAGCAACACCTCAACTTTATCAACATCCATCCGCACACGTCGTGAATCTCTATCTGCTTATCGGCTCAAGCATTTCTCTGATAACTCGATTGGCGCAAAAAAAATAAAAACAGTAAAGGAGGGAAATACGTACAAAGGGGAGAAAAAGGTGGAAAGCGCGCGCGTGTCGCAAGGTTGGTGGGCGGGAACTGAAAAACAATTAAAAATAATATAAGCGGGTAAACAATAACAACGGCGGGAAGGTGGAGAGAATTTAGTTGCTATTCACCCAATCTTTATCCCACCAGTTTTCTCTCTCGCTCTTCATCCATTGTATAATCGAACCGTTCCAAATAACTAAATTACAGAATACCATTAATATTGAGATTAATATGCGATTACAAGACTTAGCTTAATACACCAAGTAAAAAAACTGGGAAATTTGTAGAGAGTATTGCATATTATTGAACTTGTAGCTCTCTGATTTCTTAAGAGATCATAACCGCCTATAACTACAACTTAAATAGTTTGTGTAGGATAGTTAGGAAAGGAAAAGGAAAGGCTGAATCGTCGGTGGTGCAATTCGCGTTACCGAATAGATGATGGGATGAAAAAAGCGGCAGCCCACGAATCCGAATCGGAATCACAACTATAATACAAAAAAAAAAGAAAAAATGAAAAAAACCAAGCCCCAGGGGAAAAGAGACAAGATAACAGCCCCCAAACAGAAAGAAGCAGAAACAGAAAACTATAAAAACGTCGTCGCAGTCGCGAAATTATTACGACGACGCCACAAAATGGGGCGGCCTGAGTGGGTTACACAAAATGCTATGCACTATGCGATGATGTCTACGGCGCTCTGCGAGTGTATTAGTGATATAGTGAGTGGAAGAGGAAGCAACACTGCCACAAAGCACGAGCGGAGAGGAATGCCCAAGAAGTGGGGGGTGCGGGTTGGGGGTTGGGGGGTCCCTCAAAACGAAGAGAGAGGCGGATTTAAAGACAGACGGGAGAGGAGTTTCGGTAAGCTATTGAATAAGAGCATTTCTTTGGAGCTTCGCTTGCTTGTTTATCAGTGCACCGTTGATTAGTATTTTGAATACTACTAGTGTACTCTTTAAGTTTGTATATTTATTGGTTTAATACTAGCGATGGAGTTTTAATGTTTGTTGCTCAAATTTCGCTTGTTTTATCCAATATTTTATATTTATACTTCTCCTAGATTGTTGTCATTCTTTTTCTTGTTAATGTGCTGCGGTTTTTCAGTTGTAGTTGTTGCTGCCTGTCGTTAATACTCTTGTAGTTTCTCTGGTAAGTGTTGTAGTAGTCTTTGTTGTAGTTATTGCTCTCTTTGTTATTATTATTGTTGTTATTATTGTTGCTGCTGTGGTTGTTGTTGTTGCTATTGTTGTTGTTGTGGTTGTTGTAGTGAGCGGTAGAGCAGACGCTTGGCGTAATATCGAAAGTGTTTAAAATGCATAAAAGAAGGCAGGCAGCTCCAGCAATTTGTATGGATTTCATTTCAGCAAACGGATGCATAAGCAATGAGCAGCGTGGATATCGTGTAGACAAACTTCCCAAACTACCGTCGTTCCCAACAACAACAAAAACAACAACAAACACCTAATATTTAAGTTATTTAGATTCATTTTGCCATAAGCCAAGGAAATAGTAAATTTTTATTAAATATGAATGTGATTTAAATTGAAAGGTTTTTGTTTTGACAATTTCAACATATTATCTTACTTTTTTTTCCTTTAAAAAAAAAGCAATATCCGTATTTTTTTGTGAATAATTGTAAACTCTAACTGCTTACAGCTCATCCATCCAATAGGGATGCGAAGACCTAATGCAAAACGATAAGCAAGCCAACAATCAGCGATAACTTATCGCTTTTCGCTATCTCCGGCATATCCTCATACTCCCCCGTTCCACTTCCATTAACACCATATCCTACCGATGTATAATAGCACTTATAAGCCTCTGTGCTTATTTCAATTTCACCGTTTAACATATTTTTGTTCGTAATTAAATTATCGATTGCAACTACAGGAAAGCGACAGAGTAATAATAAGCACATGAGCATAAAATACACCACACACACTATATTCCATGTATTCCATATGCGTACGTGTGTGTTTTGTGTTTGTGTAAAGGGGGCGAGGAGAAAACGTGTCAGACAAAGCACAGAGTAAAAGCAAAAAAGCAAAAAGGCAAAAGCAAAAAACGGAAACGCGAGGCACTGGCCAAAAGGAAAATCGGCGATGAATTAACTTTGCAAAGCGTGTAACGGTATGTTGAATTGTTTGTTTGTTTGTTTGTTTTCTCCTTTGGCTCTCTGATGAAAGAAAGCAAGCGAGCGGGCCAAAAAGAATAAGAAATAATGAAAGCAAGCTCACTGGTGATGGAGAGATAAATAGATTATATATGGCCAAGAGCAGGTGGACTAAAATCAAACAAAACAAAAAAAAAAAAAAAAAACAGGAGGCGTGGTGCCAGGTAACGGTTAACGGAGTCCTTATTTAGCAAACTATAATCTTACAAATCTTTCGTTATTTTGGCTATAAAATGAATATTTAACATGCATAACAAATTGTTACTTTTTTTTACATATGTATCTAGCCAATAATAAGATTTCCGTGAACTAAAAACCTACTTTGGTTTGCAGGCTGCAAATTAAGCAAGTATTTTGTATTTTTTTGTAGTAAATTTTTCTTTAAAAAAATACAATATAATTGTCTCAAATGTACAACATATGTTTTAAAAAATTATTCCAAAAAAATGCAGATATCTTTAACAAAAAAATAGGGTAAAAGACGCAGCGAACGTGTGGAAAAGGCAAGACGAAAATAATGACACACAGATACAAACATTTATGTGTGTTGGCAAAGTCTGAAGGTTTAGTGCACTGGATGTTGTTGTTTTTCTCGCTGCTGCTGCCATTGTGGTTGTTGTTTCATTTGTTTTTGTTGTTGGCATGTGCCCACAAAAAACAACAACAACTGCTTTGGCTATCATCGCCTCTTCGTTGTTGTTGTGACTGTTTTTTTTTTTTTTTGTTGCAAGTGGAACGTGATTATTTCAACGAGCGCAACGTTTTCTTGTTTTTTGTTTTGTTTTTGTTTTTAGCGCACACCAACGGCAGATACAAAAATTAAAAAACATAAAAAAAATCAGAGACAGACGCGCATTTGTCCGTTTGTATATATGTAAAATTCCTATTTGCTGGCTTTGATTTCTTTCAGTATTTCTTTTATATTTCTGTTAGCTGCCTGTTGTTTTTCTTGTTTTGGCCGATGCGTGTGCATTTTTGTTCCTGTCTTTTATTTTTTTGATTGATTAAGTGGAATGTTTGCTGTTATCTTTGGGGTTTCAATTGCTTATTGGTTGAATATTTAACATATCAATTGGGTTATGTTTTTCCCAAACGGTAGTTATGTATTTGCTTGACTATTAGAGTTTTTAGTATTTCAATTTCTAAAACAACGATTTTTAGTCGTTTGATGTAGTCGTCGTGATATAGCATTTGAAGAACTAAACGAATATTTCCAAGAACATATTTTGCAATAACTATTATAGCAATTAAGTAAACTGAAGGAAGACCGTTATCTGCATCAGTATCTTCCGATTTATAGATATATTTGAAGTCTCACATTGATAATCTGCCATTATTTGTTGCTGTTACATGCCTCATTACCCAATTGCTCTTTGGCTATTTGGATTTTCGTATGATTTAAGGCCCTTTTCCGATTGCAGTCCGAAAAAAAAAAACAACGTTGGAAAAATCCCAATGACTTTTTCCATTGTTTCCGTTGGACTCTCCACCGTTTTTAGTTTCGTTTTCGTGCCGCGTTTTTATGTCTCTGAGTATCTGCGTTTAGCTATGCTTCGCTTCGACTTTGCTTTGGTTTGGTTTGGTTTGCTTCGCTTTTGCTTTGCTTTTTGGTTCGCTGCTCGTTTTGCGCTGCTTTTTGCCTTTTCGCTTTGGGTTTTCTTTGGTGTTTTGGCCTGAGCTTGGCCTGAATGTTGTTGGCTATAAAATATGCCGCTTTCCTTGTGTTTGTATCGTATCTGTATGTATATCCCCCTGTGTTTTCACAAGTGTATTCGTATCTGTCGGATTGTTGCTGCAACATTGCAGTATCTTCGGCATTGAGCCAGTGGAAAGGGGCAGACGACGGACAGACAGACAGACGGATAGATATCGTCCTTATGGAAGCCATAGGAAATGATGTTTAGAATTTGGGCCTGAATAATTGCATCATCGTTGGCACTCAAAGTCTGAAGCCAGCGTATTTAACAAAAATAAGCATTTATATTTACTAATTTATATGTATCCATCTTATTTTCAGGTGAATGGATAGGACAAGGGCCCACGTGGCAATCAGCAGACTTTGTTGCCAATTTAAGGGTTCGGAAACGCTTCCACAGTTACTATATCTGTCAACAATAAGTCGGATACGGTTGCATCACACACACAAAGTGCATATGAGTATATATATATATATAGCTTGACACCTTTCAGTATCGCGCTACTGTTAAGTATTAAGTTTTCTGTTTTAACTAACTACCGCAAATGCCACGCAACTGGGAAAAGAGCAAAGTCGCCCACTCTCAACTCTTAACCTTTAAAACCCAGGCAGTCGCACATAAATATGCATATATAGGTACATATATAGGTATGTATGTATATATAATCGAGCACAATACGCACCACGCACTTTAAAAGGGCAAAAACAAATCAAGCATCCGCCGCGTGGGCGTCGCCCCCAAGTTCACAGTTCACATGGCATACACATCATCATTGTTAAAAGCTCATCATGATGATGGTGACGATGATGAGTGTAACCTGCACTGGAGGTTGAAATAATATTATTGCGAGATACACTCCACCCACTCGTGTAATGAGTTAATTTATTTGGCCAAATTTACATACCGTATGAGGTATCAAAGGGTTTCTGGTCAAAAGCATCGGGTTAAAACGTCTTTTGGCTTTTGTATATTGTCAGTATAACTTAGTCTCGCAATTCAAAAAAAAACAACAACAAACGCTACACACAAATACCACAAAATAGTCTTTCTTAATTGGGCTGACTTGAAGGCATAATTGCTGAATTGTAAATCTATTTTACTTGGGCCTACTATTCAACATTTTTGTTGTTATGCAAATAAATCGGAGAAATTTGTGTAAGAATATTAAATTACTTTGTTCTTAACGATTTAAAATATAAGATTTTGTTTAACCCTGAGGTTAGCAACAGCAATTGAAAAACTAAATCATGTTTCAAATGCAGTATCCGGCAGTTTCGAAGAATCGGAAGCCAGGCCTCGCGTTGAGTAACTGCATTTAAAAATAGAAACGAATAACCGCTGAGTAAGACTTAAACACCAGATTTACTAATGCTTTGAACGTGGCAACAATATGTGATTCCTTATCTGAACTCAATACAGAGGTTCCGTTCTTTTACTGAATGGCGAAATCTACATGTTCCCAGATTTCTGATTTTTAGTTAAATGTATATCGAACTATCTTTTTGTGCCATATCTAAGGTTGCCCTTCTTATAGTCATCGATTTTATTACCTAATAACCAGCTTACTTGTCTTGCTTTCCACGTAAGATCAGTGGTCATCAGCAATATATCTCTAAAACACCATTTAGCTTCCGACATCAGGGGATTAGATATAACAATTTATATAAAGACAATGTCGACCAACTTGTAAGTTAAACTAAACTAGTCACTGGTTTATAGCTTTCTATTTTTCCATACATATTGTAGATATAGTGAGATAATAATATTAAGGTGACTAGATCACAGGGGTGCTGTAATTATTTAGAAATATTAGATGGTGCTCACCTGGGCAGATTTTGGAGGTATCGCATCTGTTTCTCGCGTCGGAGTTCGTCGGTTAATCGACAGTAGGTGTTGTTGATGCATACGCTGCGTCGCAAATTCGCCTCCGAATCCTTAATCCTTTCGAGCTTGTGGGCGCACAATTGAAGGATTCGCTTGCGTTCCTCGCGCTGTCGCAGCTTTGGTGAGATCATGGGCACACGGGATCGATGATGATGATAGCCGATCGGCGGGGAGCAACGGGGCGGGCCAAACATGTCTGAATCTTCGTCGCTGTTGTTGCCGTTGTTGTTGTGGTTTCCACTGTTGTTGTTGTTACCGCTGCCGGCGTCGTTTGCTGATGCGTGTGTGTTTGTGGGCAAGGTCATTGTGCGTTTTTTTTTTGTTGCTGATGTTGTTGTTCAAAGAGCAAGCAAGCGCGTGTGTATTTTATTTTTTATTTGTTTTCTTTGTTGGCTTGTCTCTGATTTTCTTCCTAAGACTGTCTTTGATTTCAATTTGATTTTTACGATTTCTTAATAAATTATTCGAAATAAGGAAGTCACACTTGCACACACGCACACACACACTTTGGCCTGCTCTCTCCTTTTAGAGCTCTTTCAGCTCGTTTTGCTCTCTTGCACTTGCTGCTGCTGCTTCTTCCTATGTCTGCCTTTGCTTTTCTTTTATTTCTTTTTTCTGCCTGAGATTTCACTTGGCAGTTTACCGTTAGTTGAGGCTGCCGCTTTTTGTTGTCTTTGCTTTTGCCAAAATTCAAAATAATCCAGGACTTTTGAATTTTTGAGTTTCTCAATTAAAAACTTGCACTTGTCTTCGCTTAAGTTCAACACAACAAAAAAATGTAACAAAATTTCTAAGTTTATTTGATTTAGTTTTTAGGCACACAATTGACTCAAAATTGCAGAGGGGGCGGGTGTCACACTTATTGGTTTCTAAAATATTAGTTCTGTGGTGTTTTCGGGTGGCCGCCTGTTGACGGGCCAAAGGTGAGGGGGTGAGGCGGCGGCAAGAGCGTAAGAGAAGTGCTGGGCTTTTCACCACTTGTTAGACCGCACGTCCGCACGGTTCTCGCGTTCAAAGTGAAATGAAAAAAACGGAACGCAGCGCTGAATGAAAGACGCTAGCATAGTATAAGGTAGTCTCGTCGGCTGCCAAATCGTTCGGGCTTAGTCCGTTAACAACTGAAAGGTTGTATGCGGACGTTTTTTTTCAACATTAACCCTTGAGTGCGAAATGAGAGTTATTTATTGTAGGTATATCAGCAAACACATACAATGCGTACATTTTGTAACCGCACAAAAATGTTTAGAAAGAAAAAAATTTGAGAATAAATTCTTAAGTACAGCCCTTGCAAAAAAGCAAAAACTTTTCAAAAAATTCCTATATGTGGCAGAGCAGGCCATTTTAAGTCCTATGTCCCGCATAGGGTATAAACAACACACTTCATTGCTGTTTCTTTCGCACTTACAAGTTACACCCCTTCACTCGCACTCATTGTGGGTATTTTTAACGGACTGGCAGACGACGAGACTACCTTATACTTATTCTACCATGAACGCTAGCTGCCACTGACGGCGTCGCAGTCGCCACTCGCGGCGGCAGAGCGCACAGATGTTCGCCGTTGAAACGGAAGTGACGGCGCTCTCGCGAGAGGGAGCGTCTTAAGAGAGCACCAAAGAGAACACGGATGGCCTATGAGCATACTGTGCATGTGAAACAGAAGCGGCCGAGAGTGTAGCTCATTGATTTAACATTGGCGAAGGCAAATATCTCGGACTCATCTTTGAATTGAAATCGTAATTGATTTATGGGATGTATTATTTTTTTTTGCTTTTACATTCACTCACTTGACCGACATTAAATTAATTACGAGGCAGCTAATAGTTTCATTAAAAATTTCGTATTTCGCACCGAAACTTTCAGTTCTATTTTCTCTGCCGCCACTGTAAAGATATAAGTATGTACATATGTATGTGTCGCAAAGATTTTGCTCATTTGTAACGGAAGCAAAACGCTGGTCAGTGGGTGGTGTGTTTGTGTTGTTGTGGGTGGCTGGGTGTTCGTGGGTGGTGGGCATAATCCGCATAGTTGTTGCTGCCTCTTTATTATGTGAAAAAAGTGACTTTGGCTGGATTTTAAAATGCAAAATACTTCCTAGGGCAATCATCCTCACTTGAAGTAATTACTAATTAAGAGATCAAATTCACTTAGAGGGAACAATTCAAATCCACAGCAATGCCAATAAGCGTGAGGTTTTGAACTGTGTCCTCTGAAAACTATTAGTTGTAAACTTACAGAAAGATTCATATTTACATATACCTAAATACGTATGTGGTTTTAAGGCACATTAAGCGGTAGATTTATACATGCAAATCTTTAATGACAGAATTAAAAAAATAACAATAAAACATCTAGATTAAACAAGAATATTAATAATTTTTTCAGTCTTTCCGCAAGGCCAATAACAATAGTTTTCCGCATAGTTTCAGAAAAAACAATTACAATGTGTTTTGCCTAAAATACACAATTTGCAAAAACATACATATGTAACTGTTCAACTAAAATCAAAACCAAAATCATTGTCAAAGCCTTTCCTAAGGAACCACCTTTTACGTTTTTCCCCGTCAACAAGTTCAACTTAATTTACAGTTTCAGAATGCTCCAAATCAACAAAAACAACAACAACGGGCACAAATAATCATACCGACAACAATTGTGAGGTCAGTTTTGGCACTCAGTGTGCGTGATTATGTGTGTACTTATGTTTATACATATGTACATGTGTGTGCGAGCACAAAGAGACAATGCAAATTTGCACTCAAACAAAGAGAGTGCGACAGAGAGGGAAGAGTTCATGAGCGTGCGTTGTGGTTGAAAAAAGGAAGGAGTAAGGGGCAGCTGTGACTGGGGGATCATTGTTTATCATTTCTGTGTACTATTATTAAGGTGCCGATGGCGATGACGTCTGCTGTTGTTGTCGACGATGACGAAATTAAGTAGGTTTGTGCAAAATGTTTAACAGAACAAGTAAGGTTTTTATTTTATTCAAATTCGAAATTTCCCGGAACAAAAGTTTTGATGATGATTCACATCTTGCCCGAAGCAGCGGGGAAAAACATCAACAACTTTATCGGCTAATTGTGCCAGAAATTTAAACAAATCAACAGGTACTCCCAATCTATTATATTTATGTACGAGACAAGAAGAAACGTACAAACATATGTATGTATGTATGTACACATCTGTTACAGTATCTTTTTAAGCTAGTTTATGTTTAAATTTGAATGTACTACATATATATTATGTATAAGCACATGTCCATGTATGTATGTATTTATCCACATATTACATTTTTGAAATAAAATTAAAGTTTTAATTTAATTTTCCTATTTTTATTTATCATTAGTGTCTCTTTTGGTAAACCATTTAATCTTGACTTTTTTCGTTCCCCCTTTCGCTTCTTTTCCTCTCTGAGTCGCTGCATTTCCAACACATTTGGATGCTTTTTGCATTTTCTTCAAGTCGCCCAAATAAATTTCGGAATTACGTAATTAAGCGGCAACAATGACAACAATATGAGCGCGGGGCAAGAACAACAAGCTAACAATTAAGTATTTATTGCTTTCAATTTGCTGCCCGATAACAGAAGAACCCGAAAAAAACAGAGAGACTGGAAAAAACAAGCAAAACAAAGTAAATAAAAACCGAAGCGGACACACACACGCACACATTGCTACCTGCGGCAAACAGCGCAGTCAACGTAGGCAGCGAAATCAGCGCCTTACTTTATTTCCATTTTGAATTCGAGATGCTTTTCGTGAATTGCTTTTAATTCTTTAGCACGCGCTATTTGGCCTGGCTTTTATTTTATTTCGCAGGTAAACGTAAATCACACGCGTAGAAATAAAAAGCGGTGGAAGTGAAAACGAAAATGGTTCTTCGGCAGTCATATTTAAAGTCGATATGCATTATAAAAGCATCAGCCTTGTTAAATATTAATTGTTCAAAACATATTTAACACCCTCAGTCCCTTTTTCCTTTACTATCCTCTTTTCCTCCTCCCCATTACAGTCAGAGTCAGCAAACGACACTATCTGGTACTCTTTTTCGCTCTTCGTCGATGTCGCTCTCTTGCATTGGCCACTTCAAACGGAGAGCACAGTGGAAAAGAACCTAATATGAGGTTAAGTAAAAGCATTAAATTATAATTTAAAAACTCTTCACAACCAAAAATTACAAATAATATGTTTATTTATTTTATTACAATTCTTTTTCCTTTTCCTTTTCCTTTTTTTCATGTTCAAGTTTGTAAAACCCTTTGAGAAATACCATATTAGCGGATTAAGTTTGATTGTTAAGGATTATCCAAAGTCTTTAGAACGTACTCTCCATATATGTTTTTATGTGTGTAAATATGTACCTGAAAAGTGTTAAGCCCCAGGTAAGTAATGTTGAAAACAATCCTATGGCAATATGAACCCTGTTTTACAGCTTACTGACTGGGCTATGGCAATTTTTCTTTTATTACATAAGATAAGATGATGAGTGATAGGAATTAAAAATTCCTTAATTCCTATTGCTTTTGGCCCACTGTGCCGCGTGTGAATGAACGTATAAAAAGTGAGAGCGTCGCATGCTCAACTCATAAACGAAAATCAATGACTCCCAATGCGCGTACCCGTCGACTCGGAGCCCCCTGTTTTTTGGAGTGATAAATGCCGCCTTAGCGTCGTCAGCAGATTTTTCAGCCTGCGCATGTTTGTCGGTCTGAACACACTCACAAACACACATCCCTTGATGTTTGCTGATTTGGCTGCATTAAATAAATGACTTTGTATTTGGAGCATTGTTAGATTTAAGTCGTTGCAACTCTTATTTCAGTGGATTTAATCTGTCTACTAGAAAACGGAAAAACTTAAATGGGTACATACTTATAAACATACATATGTATGAATGTATGTGCATACAGACAGTTGCCATTTTTACCTGGTGGTTGTTGAATTTTACACTTAAATATGTACATGTTTGTGTATAATAAACCATACGAGTACAAAATGTATGTTTATAATTTGATCATGGAATTAAACTTAAAATATGTATGTAGACTTTTGTACACATATATATGTACATCCATATGTACATACATATGTACGTTTGATAAATTCCGTAACCAAAATGATTAGGCTGAATATATTGTAACTCTTATTAAACATATAAAAATATTGACCATTTAAATAATTAATTTGACATTTGAGCCCCTTTCCGAGTGTAGGTAGGCATTTGCATTTTTCTTCGCTTCTGCCTTGTCTCCTATTTTTTGTTTTACTTGCGAGAGAGCCCACTCTTTTTGGTCTCTTTATGTTTTTATGCTTTCAACATTGATACGTGCCACTTTTCGCATACAGACAAAGCAGGCGTGAAGAGGAGGAAAGAGGAAGTAAGGCAAGAGAGTAAGACAGAGGGGGCACCAATGTGTGGGGACAGCTGGGTAAGTTTGTAATTAATTGCGGCCTTGCCTTCCCCTCGCTTCGCACTTTTTCCCCTCCACCTTTGTCTGACAAAACTCTCGCTGAGAAAGCAGCGGCCAACAGTTTGTTTTCTTTCCTCACCACTCTCTTTGAGTTTTCAGTCTCATCCAAAGGGGGGGAGGGCGGTATGGGTGCAAGAGGGGGTGGGCCATCGGCCTACTCTTTGTCTACTCGCCAATCCTACCGCACTCCATTCCATTCATGCCTCACATACTGTACAGTGGTCACTCGTCATTAATTTAGAAACACTTGTATTTTGGAGCGTATTTTATGGCCCTTTATTTTTTGGAACACCGCTTATAAATCTTTACCTAAGCACTTCTAGCCTGCTCCTTCTTCCGTGATCTAATAAGTGTAACATTTTCGCAGTTGCACAATGACTACTGTACTTACCAGATGCCCGAAAACGGACAGTGGCAGCGACGTTGGCAGAGCAGAGAAAGCGCGCTAGTTACAGTTACAGTTACGTTACAGAGGGCCAAAGACAATGCTAAGCTTGGTTAACGGTAATTAAAGTGTGAGGAAGGTATTAAGAAAAGGAGGAGGAAAAGGGGCTCATA